GCGGGCGGCGGGCGGCTGTGTCGGGTGCAGGAGCCAGGGGCTGTGCTCCTGGCGCAGCCCGGCGAGGTGGCTCCCGACGGGGCCGTCTCAACCGAGTACGTGGCGGAGTGCGTGAAACGCAACCAGCGGCTGCCGCTGGAGCCCTTCCTGCTGACGGCCCGCGGCCGCTTGGCCTTCACGGAGGCGGAGGATGCGGCGCTGCTGCAGGCGGTGCGCGGCCAGGGCACGGTGCGGGTGAGCGGCCGTGCGCTGTGGATAGAGCTGGAGCGGAGCGGCCTGACGCGGCACAGCTGGCAGGCCATGCGTGACCGCTACCTGCGGCACCTGCTGCCGCGGCTCTGGGGTGAGCGGGGGCCACAGCGGCGGGGCAGGGTTGCGAGGGGGCGTGGTGGCGGCGACCAGCATGGGTCCGGGCCCCGCTGAGGCCTAGCAGACGATCCCCGCGTGTTTCCGCAGAGCCCCCGCAGACGGAGGATCCCACGCAGATTAGGGGTCTGTTCGCGGCAGCTAATCGGGAGTTCGAAAGCACGGAGGTGAGCGACCGGGACCAGCCTGGGGAGCAGCAGCCTCCACTGCTGGCAGCGCTCGGGGCAAGCTTTCCCCGGTGTCACAGATGGCACCATAGAAACTCATGATAACACATGAAATGAGTTTGCACCGCGATATCCCTTCTGCTGTGGCTAAACTGTGAGCTGTCCTCTATGTGGTTTGCGATAAATGGTGCCTGGCTGGTGCATTTTTTCTTCCCTGTGCAAGTTACGATAAAGGAGGTTTATGTGATGGGGGTTGTCACATTAAAACCTGTATTGGCAAATGGAAGTCATCCTTTCACCTCAGGCAAAAAACGTTCCTGCTGTTGCATCAACACTTTTACCTTTTAAGCACTTTTGCCTTTTATGCTTAGTTTGTTCAAATTCTTCTTTATAGTTTATGGATTTCTGTGATCATGTGCAGCCTCATTAACACATACGGTTTTGCTTCAGTCAGTAACTTTTACTATGTTTAGTAATTTCTGAGGTTTTAATACACTGTAGAGTCAGAGTAAAAGGTGGTTGGTTGCAGTGGTAAAAGATTTGCCAGAAAATACCATCTCTAACTGGTGATTCCACTTCTCTTCCTGTTAGTCAGAAAGTGACTCTTCAGATGTTGCAGAACTTTCTACACGAAATGGATTGAGAAGGCCCCCGGGAGAAGCAGCATCTGAGCTGAAAACTGGGCCAGAGGACTCTGCTTTCCCTGACATTCAGTTACAAAAGCAAGAAAGATCAAAAAGCACTTGTTCTTCTTCCAATGTGGTGGGACAGGTGGTAAAAACTATGGAGCACTTCATGGAGAAGTTTGCTGTGGACCTGCTCACTGTTACACAGGCCTTTCTGAAAAACAGCGGTGACGTGGAAGCTACTTCATACTTTCTGCAGACAGGGCAGCGCTCGGATGGGTACCCTGTATGGAGCAGAGAGGATGATTTAGAATTGCAAAAGGATGATGAACATGTCAGAAATAAACTGATAGCCAAATTTGGAGCTGAAAATGTAGCAAAGCGGATCGTGTTTAGAGAGAGTTAAGAGGACATTACTGATCTAGTACAGTTGCATAAATGTAATAGTGATTTCAGAAACACAGTGGAAAATTTGATCAAAGTTCTGAAGTTTAAGGAATGCCTTTTTTCTTTTTGTATTAAAAGGCCTGTTTTGCATCTCTGCAGATCTAAGAGGATGCAGCTGCTTTAATCAAAAGAATGCTTGTACCAGGCTGTATATTCTACTGGGGAAAAGTACACCAGCTTTCAGGGCTATGAGTAATAGTTGAAGTAGGAAATGAAAGTTAAGAGGGTATGATCAGAGGTTATGTATCTGTCACCTAAGTTGTGTTTGAGAGAGAACACTATTGCTAGGATACATAATCTGAAAAATTCAGTACTTTTAGCCTGAAATTGTGCTCTGGTTACTTCTTTTAATACTATTTGAAGGGAGTACTAAAAATCTGGAATTCATTCTTTGGTGAAATAAAATGGGCTGGCAAAGGCAAAGTTTGGTTGGTTGTTTTTTTTAACCTCTCTAAAGAGTTATTATTTTGGGTTTTTAGCATATTGCACTGTGGCACTCAGAAAATTAAGGTGAGTTGTGAAATGGCTGCTGTTAAGCCAAATTAAAATTATACTGAAAATAAAAAACGGTATAACGAGACTGCTGTTTTGGGAAACCACTGCAACACCTACTGATTATTCAAGGAGTTAACCAATGTAACCAAATAAATGCTCAAACAGCACTACACAGTGTTTCACTGGACTGAAAAAGTGAGAATTATATGGCACAGTCGTGCTATTCAGACTTTGAACAGTTATTTGAGATTTGTGTGGAAGCCAGACAAGCACTTAATGAGGGAATGCAAGACAACATAGCTAATACAGTAATTTTTTTTTTTTACATTAGGAATGTTACCAGCTTGGTTTGAAATGCAAGTTTTGCTGATGACCAGGTTCATAAACAGGAGACCTGTCACCTCCTGCAGCTGAAAGCTCCCATTGTCTAGCTGGGGCTGCATACACATGTCAGCAGTACCACAGTGTTACAGTGGTATATGCCCTGGAATTCAAAGTGAGAGATAGAATGCATTAAATAGCTGCAATATAAAATGGTCAGCTTTCCTCTATCTTTTTAGAATTCTAAGTGGCACTTTTTAAGAGTGAGTTTGTCTCAGCGGAGCAATTAGTGTAAGGTGCAGTGCAACCTTCTGAGGTCACAGAGAGAGGTTTTGCCTTTGCAGAGCCTTATGGACACATTGTCTAATGCTGAGAATCTTTCCATGTGACACTCAGTAGGTGTAGGACCTAAGACACGAAGACCACAGTTTACTCATGGTTGCCCTCTTTCTTCTGTTATGAACTCCTGAAAGGCACTGCTTGTCCACAGATGCACTTGCTTGTGCATGCACATAGATCTAGGTCTCTTTTACCAGGTTAAAACCTGGAGAAACCAGGGATGACACCATATTGTATGGTTCTACTTCTGGTTCTGTCTTTTCCCATTATAAAAATCTTTGTTTTCTGTGCTTTGTCTTACCTACAACACAGTTATGTTCCTTTCAACATGCTGGAGACAGTTTGGTTTTCCATATTCCTATCAGGTTCCTCTACTATCACAAAAGGTCAAGAAGGTTCTTTTTGTGGCTCAAAGAAGTTTCTTCCTATTATTCCCTGGAGCAGCAATATTTGTATACCTGGAAAAGTGAGCAAAGTGGCAATGCACATACAAGAACTTAGAGTTTAAGAGAATTCTACAGCCAGAAATTCTGGGTCTGCAAACTATTATCTAGAATTTGGGTATTTCCTATTTGCTTCCTTTTAGAGTTAGCCAGCATTCATCAAAATCAATTTCTATGCTTTCATAACTAGAGTTACCAATGGAAAACTGATTGTATGCACCAGTTTGAAGAGCAACAGACAGGAATACCACAGAGTCAGTTTTTATATGTCCTTTTGACTGGAGACTTCTCCATCTTACATTTCATTGGTATGAAAACAGAGATTATTCTTTTAAACTTGTACAATGTAAACTTAATGTTTGTTTCTAAACAGACTTCTGTGATCTTTATTGCATATGCCAAAGGATGGAGTCATAGTTTTACACATCATCATCAGCATCTTGAGATTTTGGAGGATTTTTGTTGAGTTTTCTTTTTCCTCCTCCAAAAAGTATTTTAAGTTATCTTCACTTGAATCAAGACAACTTTACATTTTCACGTAACCAGACTGGCAGCAGACTTTGCTGTTTCCAGAAAAAAAGAAAATCTTACAAATTGTTGTATTGAGGAAACATACCTAAAGGACTATAATAAAGACATACTGAAATCAACAATTCTGCATTTTCTCTGATTAAGCTTAGGAAACAGAAGTGTAAGTAATTTTCAAAACAGTACATTAGGGAAATGCATCATATATTACTTTCATGTCATTTTTTTACTGACTGGAAACAGTGTGGAGGTTTTTATTCAGGTAAACATGTGATACACAGAATTGATTGCATCCACTGAAAACAAGTATTCATAATAAAATTTAAGTCACTCAAGCTGACATTGGCTAATGTAGAGATAAGTAGCAATGTACCAAAACGAATCTATTTTTGCTCAGAATCCAGCTTCTTGGCACTTACAGGAGGAAGCTCTTTACTATAACTTACTTCAGTAACAATGGGCTTTTAGCTGAATATGTTAAGGTGTATTTTAAAGGCACTATAAAGAAAAACAGTGTCTCTGTGCTCCTGTGGCACAGTGCAACTCCCACTTCTCTATGTCAGCTTGCCTGCCCTAAATTTGCATAAGCACAGTGTAAAGGAGGATACCTTGCTTTCAGAGAACTTACTACTATGAAGCCAGTGCTGCCTGCTCAGCATGGATTTTGTCCTTCAACACAATCTCTAGTAATAAGACTATTTCCATAATACAATATCCTGCCCTTTCAGGGATTAGGGGTTTAGCTCTAGGAATACAGACACCCATATTGCTAAGGTAGCGAGTGTTCTGTGTTAAAGGGACTCTGCAGTTTACATGAAAAAGGATATTCAGAAATAGGTGTCTGTAGGCATTTCACTCATCCCCAAATCTGGTAGCAAGTTTTTCTCCTTGTCTTGTGGAACACTTAAAACCAGGTGAAAACAACTCTGTTGTTCAGGTTTGAGCTATATATTCCCATTGGAGGCAGGAGAATGGCATCTCCAATGGAGACAGTGGAGAATGGCATAGTCCGTTAAATTTATTTTTTTCGTGCTCCAAGACAAGAAATACTCTCACCAAATATTTCAATAGGAGAACTTCCTGATCTTATCTTGGTTTCTTCAATCCTCTCCCATTAACCCGTCTTCTCAGTTTTGGTATTTATGCCAATGAACTCTATATCTTTACCTTGTCTTTAGGATGTCAACCTCAGCATAAATTCTTCTGCCACCCATGTGGACTGTGGGAATTCCCAGGAAAACAACTGTTCTTGGGTTTGAAAGCTAGAAGACAGAATTATTTCAGCAAAAAAATAAATAGATTCACATAATCACAGAAATGGTTTCCCACATGAAAACCCAGGAGTTTTATTTTCAGCAATAGCTGGTTTATTCCATTTTCCCATTATACAGTAAGTGAACACAAACATTTCCCCATCTTTGCTACCAAGGCTGTATACTCAGACACATGAATGGAGCAAAAGGAAAACTGGACTTGAAAATGCAACCATTAAAAAACAAACAAACAAAACAAAACAAAAAACTAAACGCCACAAAACAAAAAAACCCAACACAAAATCAAACCAAAGTCCAACATCTTTCCAGAAACCAAATGTCCAGTCATCCTTGCCTGTTTTCTGCCACTACATATCCTGCATGGCAGTATATCAAGCGATGTTTGCTTTATTCAGCTTCCTCTTATAGTTCCTCTTCTTTGGCAGTGCAATTGCTCCATGTGGTTTCCCTAGTCTTCAGCTGTGGTCTGTGGGGGGTTTGAGCTTCTGCCATCTGTTCCTACGCCTCTGGAATTCTGTATGCTCCAACCTAAACATAATTAATTTGGAAAACAAACTTGCATTACTTTAGCTTCTATTGTGGCTGTATCTCTAGTGTTCATAGAGAGTGACCCTGTGCTACTGAGAACTCTCCTGAATGTAGTCAGGGTTCTTGTATCCATGCACGCTCTTACACTTCTATGCCTGCACCTCTGTCCTCTTTGGCTCTAGTGAATAGTTCAGCACTGCAGCCTTCAGAGGGTAGATGCAGAGACCACCAGCTTTTCTGCCTTCAAAATTTGATACTCAGAGGAGTTCTGGGTAAACAAAAGATCCAGAGACATATTTTTCTGCTCTTCTTCAGACTGAACAAGCCGGTAGCCCAGCAAATCCATTGCATCTTTGCACACATTTTGCACTTTTTCTATTTTCTGGAAGGGAAGTGTCTTTCTCCAGGCCTGGGATACTCTCAGTGCATCTCTCGACCCAATATCAAAGGCCTGTGCTCCATGACCCTTTCCATGGGTGATGTTGTGGACCCACTTCTGAAGCTCTGGTGTGAAATGGAGTTCTGCAAACCTGTACATCTGAGCAGCCCGTGCTAGTGGGTCTCTGACAATGTCTTCATAGCGAACCAGCAGATACCGGTCTTTCAGGAAGCTTGGAGCGGCCTGACTTCCTGCCTTGTATATCTCAACATGGCTTTTGCAGATTACCTTCATTGTGTTGTAGGGCCCCATTTCTCCCTTTGTCTTCTGAGACCCCATAACAATGTTACTGTCGCGTCTCAGGTCTGCCATTGTATTCTCTCGGGACCTGAACACAGCCCGAGGATCACGTACCAAGTGAATGATTTTGAGGTTCAGGGATGGATCAGTGAGAAGGGGATAGAGAACTTTCAGGTCAAAGAACCTAACTTCCTTGATGGCAACATGGCTATAGGTTTTACAAGCTTCCTCCACCTTGCTGAATGGGTACTTGCCACAGATCGTTTTGCAATTGCCTGCAGTGATTATGTCACTGCGACTGAATGAGTCACAGGCAGGTGGGGAGCACAAGGCTCGGCTTGTCTCCCACTGAAATAAATCAGACTTTTTCTTCTGGCTAGACATGTAAGCATCAAACACAGACATGTCACACAGAAAGACCGACCTGACTAAGTCCCGAACTGCCATGTGTAAGACTTTGGCACTGTTCTGGTACATCTTAACCCAAACGTGCCATGCAGGCTCCATCAGGTAGAAGACACTGGGGTGCTGGCTGAAGATTTGTCCAGTGAAGGAGGATCCTGACCGCCAGGAGGAGAGAATGAGGATGTGGACAGGAGAAGGTTTTTCTTCCATATGGGCATTGTTGCTGCAGGGTAGGAAGTGGATAAGAAGGAAGGACAGAACTACCAGAATCAGGAGCACCTGCACTCTTCTAGACTTCACCATGATTGCAAGGGACCTGCAGAAACAGAGGAAGTTCAGCATCACAAGGTGATGAAAAAGGCAAGACGTGGTGCATCAGGCTCCTGTGCATCCCTCTGCAGGGCACAAGACTTTGGAAAGCTGCCACACTGCTAGTGACACTGTGACAACCACCACACAAGGTGTCTTTGCAAAGGACGTAAGTACTGTAGGACTGAAGGTTTTCTGCAGCAAAATCACTATTTGTCAGTAAGCCATTCTAATACAGTCTTAGAAGATACTGAAAAACTTGTCTGCACTTTTATCAAAGTTTAAGAACTAGTTGAGTGCACTGAAGTCAGTACAGACAAGTGTGTACTTCATGTGCATAATCCCTGCAAAAAATTCTGGCAATTTTTATGAAGGAAAAATGCAAACCCTTCCTTTTTGCTGAGGTGTTCAGAATACAACAGTTATACATTTTACTTTTAAACACCTTACTCTGACCAATATTTACAATTACTTTTATGCCAAAATGCTGTAAACATACAATGTAGGTTCCCTTTTGTTTTGATTATACTCCTTTTGAAATTTCAGGAAACATTTATTGTCACCACAGGGAAAACTTCACATAGAAAAGGAATAAGCTTGGCACTGTAATAAATCCAAGAACAGTATCTCATCCAGACAGAGCTTTGTAGGCAATTTTGCTAGAAACATCCATCTTTGTCTAGGCAGGCTTAACTGCTTACCTGCCCTACTAACGCCCTTCTTAGCCTAACTCCTTTAAAAAGACTGTCACTTGCTATCCCTCCCTCCAAGCCCACTCATCCTATTAGTCATTTATGAGAAGATGTACAATAGAATGTGCTAGTTGAACTCAAAGGTCTGCCCAAAGCTGGGTCCTTGTTTCATATACTAAACCTCTCTTCCGCCTGTAGACGATGACTGAATTATTGGAAAATGTCACAAAATTTTCATGCCATTGGGGACATGACATGAAAATATCACAGAAAGAATTCACAGCCTGAATACTAGCTGGCACAGTAATCTGCAGGAAATACACCACTGAAGATGGGATCTGAGGCAGAAAGAATTCTTTTTTTTTTTTTAAATACATTAAAGGACACTTTGCCAATTACTCCTGTCTTGTGCACTCTCGTTCTGCCCCCCAGCAGTGCCTGACTGTGCCTCAAATACAGGCTGGGTATCTGCAGCATGGGCCACCCGTGGGGACAGGCTCCTTGTGCAGCACTGAAGCCCAGGCAGCGTGGAGTGCTCCCCATCACCGTCTGCCAGGTTGTCAGTTTAGCTGTGCCACAGTGGAGACAGACCTTTCTTGCTAGTGCAGGTGCCTTGTTTTTCCAAAGTGAATTAAAACTGAAAAAACTTTTCTGGTTCCTAGTCGTGGTCAGTCCTTCCAGGGGGAGGCACAGCAAGACAGGATAGAGAGAGCAGGGCTTTTAGGGCAAGATGTTAATCCCCGACAGAGCAGCATCTGAGCCCAGACCCTTACAGCTTTGTACGCTGCTTTTGTGCAGTCCACAATTGCATGACACTCTAGCAGCTATTCCCATACCAAGCAGTAGCCCCCCTACTCGAGCAGCAGAGGTGTAAGATGACTCAACACAGATGCAATGCAGACTTTGCCTCCCTACTACCTGCTTGCCATGCCATCTGGATCCACAGTAATTTTGAATGTTCCCAAAGTTTCTCTAACCTCCACCTTATGCCCTGCCTCAATTTTCCTCTGCAGCAAAGTTTTCAGACTAATTTGCATGGGGGTGCCTCCTCCCATGATTTTAGTTCCTCTAGTACTGATGTTTTAGATTTTCACATACAGTCACTGCTGCTAACCAACGAAGAACAGTACCTAATCTATGCCTCCAACATACATGCATAAATTGGCTTTTTTTTCTTAGTAACCTGCTGTGCATTTGTGTTGAGCTTAGGGTTTATAAGGCAGCAGTTATAATTTCTGTGAGTAAGGAAAATACCCAGCCTGATGGGTAAGTCTGGTTGTTGCCAACAGGTGCTACCACAATATGAGTTTTGCTTTAGTAATGTCTGGCAAGGATGGGGCTGTGCAATTAGACAAGGACCACATCATTCCTGTCTCCTGGACAAGAAGCCCACTGATTTTTTTTTTGGTTACACAAATGGCCTGTAGGTCTGAAAAGGAGCTGAATGAGGTTGCTATTTGGACCAACCCTAGGAAGAGCTGCAAAAAAAGACTATTGTAAAAATAAGTGATATATCAGCTTCTTCCTTCCAAATGAATACAAGCAGTGTTTACCAAACTCCTGGCTTCCAAATGAACTTTGATGATATCACTTCCATCTGGCACCACTAATATTGTTATTCTAACTCCTGACAGAGGTCCTGGAATATAGCCAGAAGCTATTAATTGAGAAAAATTCTGTTGAGCAGACATGAACAATGGCATGAAGGTAGATACCCAGGCAGATTTAAAACCACAGAAATAGTTGTTTCTTTGGAAACCTACATGTAAATTGCCTGAGCATGAGAATTAAATCAGGTTTTTCTCAGGAAACAAGAGTCTACTTTTATCCCAGTGTGGGATAGCTGGATGTTTTAGATATCTCACAGAGTGACTGCTTTTGATAGAAATTACCTCATGTGAGACCACAGTTTCAACAGCTTCTTCACTCATATAAGAACTAGTGATAATTATTGCCATCAAAAGTCTGTTCCACAGAGAGTAGAAGGACTGAAATGAATTGTGAGCCTGATGAAGAGAAATGAAAGAGCAGCGTCATACTATACTATCTTATAATACATTCTCTAATATGTTAGAAATACTAATTATATAACCTTATTTTTCACCACTGTATTTCTCAGTCATGGGAGCTGGGATGTTTCTAAACTAAGATTTTAAGCTTAACCACATTTTCTCTACAGCAAACATACACAGTCACCAGTGATGGAATTAATTTCATATTGCAAAAGTGAAAATATGAAGCACTCACAGAGCTGGCAAGTAAAGAACAGCCCAGAATAATTGAGACAATCTCTGCTACAGAACAAGAAAAGCACACTGTTAGCAGTGTGTGTGCTAACAGAGAAGAGCTAAGATTTGGTTGAGAGCAGAAAGAACTGGTAAAATCTCAGGGCACAAATGATGCAATATAGAAACTACCGAAAAATACAACAATCCAGTATCAACATGTTAGTGTCTCCCACAGCAAAGGTATGAAAATACTACCTGAGCAGCTTATTAAAAAAAAAATAAGCAGAGTCTTAGGCTTTTCTAGAAACACACAGAGACCTTTGAAAAGCTTTATCATGGTAAGGAGGAAGTGTTACAGAAAGCAGCAAGCAGCCCAAGGAAATGTACCCATGAGAAGCACTCAGCATTGGGTGCCATATCCCCAAATTACAGGATTATTGAACATGTGCATGTCTCTGGCAGGTGTGAGACAGTTACAGCCCAAAAACACCTTGTGCTGTGCATACTAATGTTGAGTGCTCTGCCAGTCTGAGGGAGTTCTCCAGACATGTACAGGTTCCCCACTGCTGTAACAGCAGCAGTATAGCAAAGAGGATCTGGCACCAGAGAAGCTCCTGTCATGTCATTGGTCTTTGAGGGCACTGATGGTTGCTCACAGTTTTTTCAAATACTGCTTCAATTTGGCCTGGTCCGTTTCTGCAGAATTAGAAGTCATCTGCCCATTCAGGGATGAGCAGCTAGCATGACTGCCACTAGTGGGAGAAGCTGAGCAAGGGCACTGAGAAGATAGGAGAAGCAGGAACTACCCTCTAAGCCAGACCCACAGCTTCTGTCTGCAGAAAATTGTCACAATTTGCTGGCAACACGAGCATCTACGCTAGACACCAAGAAATGTTTAAAAATCTCACCTTAACAAGTCCTTGTGAAGCACCACCAGACCTGATTCAAGCAAAGTTGCCTTCACACACGTTCACTGCTGTGGTACACGCGCCTCCAGGCTGTCACATGAACAACTGTGCATTCATGTACAGGCACTCTGTCTTCATGCTGGGGTCTCATATACACATGTACTTAGCTCCTACCTACACCTGTGCCTGCCCCATCCTGTCCTCTTCATGTACATCTCAGCTCTAAGACTGACTGCTCTACACTGCCCGCCTACTTTGACCAACCTTAAACTAGAAAACTCCGCCCCGCACTAAGCAAAAGGTATGGAAATGGCAGTTTCTTGCAGGGGTGTGAATGACTAGGTGCCGCTAGTAAAGGAACGGGGCCAGAAAGTTCATGAAGGAGACTGAGAGATACTTTTAACTCCTATTACAAGCTCCAAATAAGACTGCTGCCTGTAAGAGCAGGAACAGGGATGTCTGTAGAATGTCAGAGCAAAGGACAAACAAGTTGCAAAGAGGACCAGCTTGCCCACCATGAGTGCAGAGGTAGGGCATACTTTCCTAATATTGCTCTGGCTGCTTGTCATGTTGTCAGCAGATGCAGATTAATATAAAAATCTTTTTTACTCTTCTCTGTCTCTATCTTGCTTGAATTAAACATTTGGGGGCTGGGAAGGAAAACTGTGTGAAAGGACAAGCTGTGAAAGGAGCAGCTGGACTTGGACTGTTAATGATTCACAAGGGTGCTGGAGCTGCAATGGGACTGTGCCAGGTAAGGTAGTGAAACAGGGCAGCACTGGGCTCAAGAGAAATACACATAGAGACAGTTGCTTTGGGTCATTCCTATTCCAGATCTCATAGATTCTGTCACACAGTCTGGAGAGATATAGACCTATTAATGGTGTCTTCTTTGTGTTCTCAAGGACCTCACTGCTGCTCTCAGGGCAAGTGGAGACAGCAAAATCAAAAATCTGGGCAAGGCTGGTGCTTCCAGCAGGAGGGACAATCTGAATGGGGCAGGTCATGTTCCCTTTCACTTGTTGCATTGCAAACACAAATGGTCAAGCCCTGGTAACCCTAGGCTGGGAAATAAGGTGAGAAGTTGGCAGTGGTCCAGGTAGGGCGCTGTGGAGGACCACACAATGGTCGGTGCAATCTGGACTTCTGCTATGTGTTCTCATGCCCTGACACACAGGATTCACCTGTACATCATCAGGTGTTAGAAAACCTTTGAGAAGGCCACACAACTTGAGTGACTCTTCCTGAACGATTATTTCTTCCTGGCTAACAGTTGCATGAACAGAGATGGATCAAAATTTCTATTCCAGCTGTATGTAGTTTGCCCAAGATATGCTGATCCCTTGGCATCAATATGTAGGCTTTATGACAGCACTGAATGCTACGGCGCAGTCAACTTGTCAAAGGGTTAAGCAGATTTTTCTACTTGTATATATGCCATGTCCCAGTTATTTGTCTGAACTTTCCACAAGGCATCCTCTGTAGTATGAGCAGTTGCACAGAGGAGGAGAATATGCTCTTCCCTGGATTTGAGATTTTGGAGGACAAACTGGTCTGGTACACTGTATTTCCTGAGAACTGCACATTGCGACACTTGAAGCAGGAAACCTCTGACTCTTGAAAATAAACAGCATGCTCTGCATATGCCTGACTCAAAAGCTTTATGAGGCAAAGCAGAAGCATATGGGGTCGGAGTAATCCCAAGCACAAACATGGGCTATGTGGAAAATTGACTGATATCAGCTCCAAGAAGAAGGACTTGGGGTGTTGGTGGACAAGAAGCTTCACATGAGCCAGCCATGTGTGCTAACAGCCCAGAAACCAGCCATGTTCTGGGTTGTGTGTCACCAACAACACGGACTGCAGGATGAAGGAAGAGATTCTTCCCCTCTGCTCTGTTCTGGCAAGACCCTACCTGGAGAACTGCATCCAGCTCTGGAGTCCTCAGCAAAGACAAAGGCCTGTTGCAGTATGTCCAGGGAATGACACATTTCTATTTTCTACCCCCTCTCTGTGGATTCAGAGACTAGTGATCTCTGTGAACTGCCCATGCAATCACACTTTTTATTTCTTACACCCTGAAGAAGTAAGCAACATGTACTGTGCTCCCAAGCATGCATAAACAGATCACACCTGACCCAGTGCAGAAGCAACAGAAGTAGGCTGATGAGTAATGCAAATGGTGTAGACTAGAGTTTAACTCCACAGTGCTTACACTGGAGATGCCTCCCTACCGGACAGCACGTTTTTGACAGCTGATAAGAAGAGAACCAGACATACCTATGTCAGTGAAACCTGGTCAGCTGTAGGGTTTGACTAACACCATGCCCTGTCTTCTGCCATCATCTAGAGGAGATGCCTAGGGAAGAGAACAAGAAAAACATTTCCTCCCTGAAGCCAGGGATCTGGAGTACACAATTCACCTTTCTGAATGCAGATGTTAAAAATAAGCTAGTGAGTGATGCCCTGTAAGATCCTGTTTCTTTCTGTTGGCTGTGACAAGAGTGGAGAGTGATGTTTGTGAGTAGACACAGAAGCTGTCTGAAATCAGTTCAGATCAAGCTTGTCTTTGTATTTTATATCACCTAGATATAAAAAAAGTATCTCACTTTTCCAGTCTTGTTTTGAACGTAAGATACTTTTGGCAGCAACAGGATTTATGGGAAATATGGGTACATTTAGCTGCATGTTGTGGGAACTACTTTCTTCTGCCATAAACCTACAATAAAAACTGTATTTGGTATAATCACAATTTTTAAAATCTAGACACAGGAGTAATTTCTCCCTATTTGCAGTCTTCAACCTATACAAGTTTTTTATATCTGCTCTTATATGTCCTGAATAACACAACTCATACCAGGCTAATATCTAAAGCAGCTCATGGTAATCATGCTGCCAAAATCTCTATCACTTTCAGGTGTGTGATGGGATAGTTCATATTTTCTGCATCTCAAAGGTATGATGCAGGGGAGCTGCTGTAAGAGTCAGTGCTGTGACTATGCATTGGTGAATGTTTCCCTTTCAAAGCAGAGAGATTTCAGTTGTTTTCTAGCTTACGCTTCTGAATCTGTAGAGGAAAATTAGAATTTATGGCTCTGCAATGTCGCTGTTCACACAAGGGCCATGCATGGTCTCCTGTGATGATCAGTGGATTTGAGTACTGCTATACTGTATTTTGAAATGCACAAGAAAAACCCTGCTCCTTGCAGTAAACAAACTTGACAGTAATCTACCAAAAAAAAAAAAAAGTCTCTGTGTCAATTGCTCATTACTTTCAATGGGATGAAGGCAACAGAAGGGAATTCTGCTTTCAGAAAAGCCCTTTTTGGTAGGGATGCTGTATACAGTCATCCTGGTTTCTTTAGATTTCTTTAGAAGTCATCATTCATGGAAGATGGAAAGAATGCAGCAGTGAGGGAAGCTCCAGAATGCATAGGAGCAGAGGTGCAATGCCTATGTTAAATTCCAGTCAGAGCAAGTTCTTTCTGAGCTAGAGCAGATATTGCCCCATATGCCTTCCAGAACAAGGAAAAACGAGACAAATGACTGATATGATGTCCTATATGGCAGCACCTCTCCAAGGACAGGCTGATGCACCTGTGGCTTTTTTCTTGTGTTTGAATTAAGTTTTAAAGTTATATTTTTATTTAGAGGCAGTTTGAGATAAATAGACTTGTTTGAATTGTCACATAACCCAAAGTTGTGTCAGGCAAGAGCAAGGATAGTGGCTGTGTCCCTCTCTCACCCTTGCACAGTTTCAGTATAATTTCTTGCCTTCATTGTAATACAGCACTCTACTATCAAGTGGTGGGGGAATAGGAAAATGAGAAAACACAAGAGAAAGAAGGAGGTCACATAATAATGTACCAACACCTTACAGAAATGAGAAAAATAGTAAGAAATATATATATATATTCAACTTTTGAATTAATTTCACTGATCAGCTTCTGCCTTCTTTATGTACATAGGCAGTCTAAAACCGGAAATCAGCACAGGAACTGAAGTGGGAGCAGAACAGCTAGTTTAGAGTTGAGAGAAACAACAGCAACAAGCAGACCTGAAGCATGCATAGCCCATGCAATGCACTGGAGTGCAGAAGACCCTGTCCTAGCACCAACTATTTCTGTCAGGTATCCAGGAAATAAGTCATTCAGACTTCTTGACAACACCTCTTTGCTTTGGCAAAGCTTCAGGGAGCACTGACCCAAGACAAATAAGGAAAGCAAAGACAATATATGACGGAGCAAAGGGCTGGTATTGATCTCGGCTCCCAGCACTGCAAGAGCCCATGTCAGACAGTCAAAGCATGAGAAAGATTCCAGTGCTTCTGCCCTTCAGGAGGCTCTCCCCAGTGCTGGGAACCGAGGCTGAAGGCTAGTGCAGAACACACAACTTCAACCTTGTTCTGACCAGTTGTTAAGATTGGTCCTAGCACCAACTATTTCTGTCAGGTATCCAGGAAATAAGTCATTCAGACTTCTTGACAACACCTCTTTGCTTTGGCAAAGCTTCAGGGAGCACTGACCCAAGACAAATAAGGAAAGCAAAGACAATATATGACGGAGCAAAGGGCTGGTATTGATCTCGGCTCCCAGCACTGCAAGAGCCCATGTCAGACAGTCAAAGCATGAGAAAGATTCCAGTGCTTCTGCCCTTCAGGAGGCTCTCCCCAGTGCTGGGAACCGAGGCTGAAGGCTAGTGCAGAACACACAACTTCAACCTTGTTCTGACCAGTTGTTAAGCTTAGCTAGCTTGGTAGGTACTCCTAGCTATTGGAACTCTGCTGAGGATGTGTCTTGTGTGGTTGTCCTGTCAACGGCATGACTTCGACCACGCTAAGCCTTCCTTGTCTTACAGAGCTCCTCAACACTCACACTCTGGTTTACAAAATCCCTCCCATTCACCTTGAGTAAGTAGTGTCTCCCAGCCCACTGCTGGCATCTCCTCTTACATCCATGGTCTCTTCCTAACCACTTTTCATGCTTGTGGAAAACTGTATATGCCTCTGGTGGGTAATGCCACCAGAGCAGGTCAGCTCCTTTGGCCCCTGACAAAGCAGCATGCCCCAGGAGAACAAGGTTATGTGCAAGGCCTCACATACAAAGTTTTTCACAGCCACCTCTTCTTGGGGTTCCACTGCCACACATTGCTCAGGCCTTACCTGAGCTCCCGGAAAGGCTGGGTTCTGGCTCACCAGGACCTCCATGATTATCCCCCAGACTGCTTCCTTGCAACTATCCTGAGTCTAAATCAGTGAAAACCACATCTTCCACCGCAGGTGTACAGCATGGCTACATGATGGTAAGAGAGCAGGCTAGTGTAGACAGGCTCTTGCAGCCAAAGTCCATGGCCCCAAGGCAGGAAGACCTTCAGGGACCTCCCCTTTGGTCTATAGACCAGCTGAAGGCAGTCAGGGCTACTGGGTGGGTGAGGCCAGTGCCAGGAGCCGGGCTACACTGAGGTTCCTAAAACACCTGGGGGAACTGATGATCTCACTGCTGGCAGGTGCAATTTGTCCCAGCCTGCGGTGTCAGTTTCCCTGTCGGGGTTGAACCTACTGCCAGTCGCTTTGGAAGCTGAGGATTAGTACACTTCAAGCTGAGAAGTTCCTTCATTTCCCAAAGAGAGCCCTAGGCATAAGGTTGCCTCCTTGCCTAGGTCCCCATATCTGAGGTAAATCACCCTAATCCTAAACATGGCCAGCCCAGACAGCACAGAAAAGGGCAGACGCACAATGCAAGCCTGTGCCAGGTTTGTACCACTGCTGCTCCCCAGCTAAGACAGGGAGGATGGTTGTGGATCAATGTGTGAGCTGGCACAGGCAGGATGCCGTAACAACCACCAAAACACATATGACATGCAGAGTAAATTTACTTCTGTTACCTCACCAACCAGGGAATCTTCCAAGCAGGACCCAGGCAGAGGCACACAAATAGGGATCCCAGCACTGTGGAGTCTAGTCCATACTCAAGGATCACCAAACCTGCTGTTTTCACATGTATATCAGGGATTATTGCAGGCACAGTTTACCATTGAGATTTGATCTTTACCACAGCAAAGCAGGAATGCCAAGCATATTCAATAGGGTGATTCTAAGTCTAGCACAGACCTATGTTATATAAAAAGAGATGTTCCACTTACCAAACACACAAGACTAAACAATTAGTATATATGTTTTTCTACACTTCACCTGCAAGACACTTGAGTGTATTTACAATCCTCCTTGCCAATCTTCCCTTATTTTCCCACAATGAGTTATAAGGGCACTGGGGCAGCTCTGGTAAAGCTCTGTAGATCTTGTCTGAGCATCTCCAAAGAGCAGCTTCAGATCTGTGTCTTGACTTCTTCCTTGGTCTCAATGCTGCAGGGGTTTCCTTTAGCACAGAGTACCTCCAAACTCCAACTTAGGCTAGTTTGTATGGCTGGCAGCGTGCTCTAACCTATGCCCACACTATGACGCAAAGCATCTGTGAGTATAATACCTGAAAAATGATACCAGCACATTTGTGGTTTAATGCTAGTTTGCTATTGCATCAGGGAAAACCTAGGTGTGGTCAAAAGGATATGTTTACAAAAGATGACAATGGAGGATGTGTCCTTGAGAAATCAAAATATCCTGAGATTTATGAGGTATATATATGCCTATTTCTCTGGCTCTGTCAGCCTTCTCAGTCAAATGTGGCTGGGTAAAAAAGAAACAGCATTGTGTTAATTATTGCAGAATATTTGCATGTTAACAGACATCTCTGAGTGGACTCTGAAAGAAAAGGGGTTCCTGAATGAAGAGTGATCTCAAAGGATCAGCTTTCTCTAAAATCAGGATCTGTTTATTAGTAATGGGGATTAAAGCCACAGAACCTATGGTACATGGAGAAGAGTTGAAGGAAGTAGATGGAACATGAAAGCTGCAGTAGGTTCAAGACGGCATAACAGTGCAGCAACATCATGCTGTAAAGGTCTCCTGGTCCAACAGATCCTTCATACACCACCCTGCTTGTTACTTGTCAATGTCTTAAGCAGTTCTGGTTATTCAGCTCTATTTGAAGGTCTAATGGCATGAAATCTCTGAAGCTGTGTACCATTCACCCATTCACCATAGCCCCAGCTTCCCTCTCTTTTTGTTCTGGGATTGTTTTCTGTGAAAGGAAAAGATGTAGCATGCACACTCAGCTAACATGTCAAAGACCTTTTCATATACTGCTTTCTCATTGAGCCCTCCCCTCTAATGGAGTACTGGTACCCAGATTTTGTACTGGGCAAGGTAAGGGGAGACAATGAGACCGTTATAGAACCTGGCAGGACTGGCCTGGTGTAATCCAGAGCTAGCTCACTTTTCCTGCCATTGGGGAGGCAGGGTTGACCTGTAGATCCCAACCCTGTGGGGAACACATGAACAGAGCTGAAGGTGGCAATATAAGGCACTCCATAAGTTGCCCCTCTGAGAGTTGCAGAAATGGGTCCTGAGCATCTCACCAGAACACTTGTTGCAATGGGCATTATCATCTCCTCCCATTTCCACTGAATAATCAGACAACAGGCCACCAGTTCCTCATTACTTTATGGAGCTGACGTATTCAGCAATCAGTAACCCTGGTACCACTGGCATGTCACAAACACCACATATAGTATGAGCCATGGGGTGCCACCCCATGATTCACCACTACAGCAAGAAAGGCATGCCAAGCCTTGAGTATTTAAGCATGGCTGGCTCCAGTCCTGGGGACAGTTGCCTCCCTGCAGCAGCAAGGACAGCACCCACTGCTCTGCTGGGTGGGGGAGGATGTGAGGGCCAAGGAGAAGGCGCAGACAGGACTGTTCTGTGGGAAGTAGACAGGCTGCCACAGCAAGCTGCCAACATCATCAGGGCAGGAGGGACTGGCTCCAGTCTGTGTCAAGCTTTCAGGGCCCATCCTGCTCTCAGGGTTGGTGGGTTTCTTTGGGGGTCTGAATCACTCTCACCATATCCCTCCTGGCACACAGGATGGCCCTGGGCAGGCAGGGACATGCCTGGTGCACTGAAATACCATGAGGTGAGCAAAGGTGACCCACACAGTGACCAAGCCTAACCTGACACAACAGTAGGACAGTGCAGGACTGCCATGTCAGAATTTTTATTAATAAAAAAGTTACAATAACTTACTCCCTTTATCACGCAAAGGGCTTGGTATAAAGAGCTCTGGCCTCCTAAAGTAACACAGGGAAGTGAAAGGTGGGTACTTTTCTCTTATCCTCCAAGACAGCAGCCTTCTCCTGTCCCCAATGGGGAAGTGTGGCCAGCACAGGAGCCACAGGCCAACAGGGCCTTTGACAAAGGGCCCAAGCCCGGACAAACCTTCTACCCCTGCCTGCAGCTGGTTCACAGGTAACACAGACCAACACAGGGCACAGATGCTGAGTCTACAGAGACATGGGGGACTGGAAGTAAGAGGATGTGCAAGCTCTAGTGGAGGAGGAGAGAGAAGAGTCTTCTTTCCATAATGCTGAGGAGTCTGTGGACCACAAAAAGTGAAGCAGCAGGACAGTGGCTGCTTACAGGCAGAGAGAGGTGGGGCTGGCTGGAAGCAGCCTTGCCTGCCCAGCTGCTGCCTCATACAAGGTCTAGCCTGACAGAGGCAGGGGGCCATCTGTAGCTACTTGTCACACTCCAGATCCTGGGCCCCCTCAGCACCCTGGTAGTGCATCTCACAGAACTCCTGAATGCGACTGCAGGCCTCCAAGATCATCTCCTCAGGCACGGTGATCACTACGCGGAAGAAGTTTGGGTACTCAAAGCACTGAAATGAGAAAAGATTAAGCTGGCAGATTACCCGGGATAGTGCCAGTTTTAGAGCCCTGCCTTGGCACCATGAGCTGCATCAACACATAAATACAGTCAATATAGAACAGGAGGGCTTGTTTCTTGCTCCCTTAGACTGTTTTTCCTGTTGCAAGCAAATCTCCCATCTCCATCTGTGTAGACATGATGCTGTGAGGGGGACAGGCCAGAGGACTTTGTGTCAACTGTGAAGAGCAGACTGTGCAGGGAATAGGCTGAAAGGAGTTAGTGAAGGAGAGGGCTGGAAAATATTTAAGGCCCTGTCCATATTCAGTGTTGGAAGTGAATGCAAGGCACAGATGTTCTCAGCCTTCCCTCTGTCTGGAGGGGTGGGGGACTGGAAACAGACTGAGGAAAGGAACACAGCACTCCTCTGAGGGAGCACCTTCAGCAAGGAAATGTGCGGGTATATGGATTTCAGGAATACAGCTCTGACAGGTTGAGAAATACTGGGCAAGCCTGGAGTTGGGAAGATCCTGGCAGCCTGACTAAGGGCTGTTAGTGAGCCAGAGACTGCCACACACAGCATGGGCAGCTGACAGTCAGCTCCTACACATTACTATATTACTGTGGACACATGCATACACAACTCCCAGCCTGTCCTGAGAGGTCAGGGATGCAAACCCCTACAGTTTCTCCCACCCTGCTCTGGCCTTGCAGCTCCTTGGGGCGCTCAGTGTTAGGCTCACCGTGGCTGGCAAGCAGAACACAGACTGCTCCGAGATGAGTCGCTCAGTGAACTCCACGTCATTTTCAAACTCCGGAAAATGCTCCATCTCTATCTCAACCTGCAGCAGAGGGATATAACATGGCAACCAAAACTATCTACAGTGTCCTTGTTTACACACATGGCCCAATGACTTCCCAGTGAAGAGCAACTGTCTGCCTTCAATTTTTGCTTATGTTTTGGGCTGCCGGGGATGCAAGACAGAAACATATAAATGAAAACTGGGCTTCTGAAAAAGCCTTCATTAACTACCTAAAGATGGAATTTCAGTTAAATGCTGCTTCAATAAAAAAAAACACCTGATAGAAAAGACATGGTAACCAATTAGAAGTGAAAAGGAATAAATAAGACATTGAGACAGAGCTTGGTGGAGAACTCAATATGCATTAGTAATCCTATCATGAAAGAAAAAACTAATGCTTTGGTTTAAAATAAAAAGAAATATAGCAAGGTCTAGAATATTATGAACAAAATAAATCCTTGTAGGATTATATAATTGGTAAGATGACATGAAAATGGTAACATCTCCAATAAATATTTCTTTTTTGTATTTGGAAAGAAGGCAGCTGTCCATCTCTCACATAAAGACAGTGCTATTTTGGCCATTTGTTTATAGAATCCCAGAATGGTTTGGATTGGAAGGGACCTTAAAGCTGATTTAGTTCCAATGCTTCCACTATAGGCATGGCTGCCACCCACTAGATCAGCTTGTTCAGGGCCTCATCCAGACTGACCTTTATAACCAAAGATTTTAAACATCTTATGAAAATATTCTTAAACAGGTAATTTGATAGATAATTTGCATACATAAGTTCTGAAAGAGCTAGTAGAAAACAAAAATAAACACATGATTTAATTTGAAATAGACGGCCAGCTGCAGAAATACAATAACTGTGAAAGAATCTTAGAGCTGTGCCTCTATATAAAAAGCATAAGCAAAATGATCTGTGTAGTTCTGAGTAAAATTTGAAACAGGGTAAAGTGATAAGGATTTTTCTATAGAAATGAGTGAGACAGATTCTGCCGTATTGTCCAGTTCTGAGTCCACATTTTAAGAGTGAATGAAAAACTGGAGACATTATGAGATGGAACAAAATAAAAGGAAAAAAAATTCATATGTGTCAAGGTGTCATAAATTTCTCAATTGAGCTTGATGAGATGAAAAAGGAAATTTGAGCATATTATAAACCTTCAAGCAAACAGGCATGGGAAAAGGCAGAAGAAAAGGCAACACCACAGGCAGAAGACAGGCATGCTACTATGAAGAAGGCTTCATCTTCTACAGGAGGTATGATATTCTGCCTTGTTTTATAGGGGCTTCCAGTTGCCAACGGCATTTATATGCAGGTGATTCAGCCTTGTCTTGAAAAGTAAAAGTCATGGAGTTCTGTGCAGAAGCAAGTGGGTTAAATGTACTGGCCTCTGCTCAGTGAGTAGTTAACAGCATATCCTGGCCTTCTAAGGTGATCAAGGGATGCTTTTACCGCACAGGGCAATTTCAAAATGCACAGTAATGGAGAGCTGGTGGCAAGTACCAATCTGAAATATTGACTAGCTCTGGCAACCAGACCTAGTGTGAGTGCTAGTGATCCTCACTTACCATAAGGTACATGGCTCCAGCAGGCCTGACAGGCTGAAGGCCAGGGATAGCTGATAAGGCAGCATAACAAAGGTCAGCATTAGACTGAAAAGCAAAAAGCAGAAATTTCAAAACAGGAGAAAGTCCAGAAAACAGTTCCGTGATTGGAAGCCAAACCCTGGACCGGGACTATGCACAAGTTTGCCTACTGCAAATAAAGGGACAACAAATGCAAACAGCATGGGAGATCATGGCCTCGAATACAGCAGGTGTTACTGAGCTGAGCTCAGAAAGTCAATGCCAAACTTCATCCCCTGGGTCAGCAGCTCCAGCTGCAGAGCTAGGCTGCCTGAACGTTATCACAGTATTTCTGCCCATAACAAATTCTGCTGGAATTTGATCTGTTGGGTCATCCTAATCACAGACAAAACTGCAGCTCCAAGTGGGGAGGAGGAGAGGAAGAATGATGAACTAGAGAGAAAGAACTCCCTCCAAACAATTTTTGAACAACCCTTCTTGATCTGTAACAGCCTGTTTACCTTGAGGATGCTTAGGGTGTTGTGGTAGAACTCAGGTGGTGTTCGGTGCAAGATACGCTCCAGTGCTCCTTGGACAATTGTACAGGGTCCTAGGATCCTTTGACTCAGTCTTAGAAGGCCGTCCCTGATCTGAGAAAACATAATACTTGCAGCTTAAATGATGCTTCCCTAAAGGAAATGAACAGCTCCAAGGCTCACTTCCTGTATTTCTACAGCTGTTCACACCCTTCTCTTCAGTGAGCATACAAAGAACATTTGTTTGACTGTATGTCAGGTTTAGCAGACTATTTACAGTGTCATTCTCTGTTCCTCCATTGCAGATTGAAATGCCAACAGAGAAAACCTTTGGAGCTTCCCAATCTGACTCAAACCAGGCAAGAATATAGATAATACAAATAAAGCCAGAGCTGTTCCAAATACAACTTTGCATTTCCCTTTGGTTTGTGCCCACAATCCACACTTTCAAAGCCAGGTAAGGACAATCAATATTAGCTTTTCTGCTCACTCATTTGGTCCTCTCTTCTCCCTCTTCCTCTGCAGAGAGCCTTCTAGGTGGAAAGGTCACTGCAGTAGATGGTTGTCCTTGTAACACAGCTGAAAAATAGCCAGATAAAGTACTGGCAGCACTGCAAGGTGCTTTGTTCTTACTTTTAAGAGAAACCATGTAAGAGCACATAGACACCACACATGGACTCCACATGCCCGATAAGCCATGCAATACTTTCAGTGCACACTGGAGCTCTCGGAGAAGTTAGAAGCACAGGAAAAGGACAAGGCGTATATTAATGACCAGCAGAGATACAGAGTGAGTTACAGTGTAGATGTGGGTAGAAGACCATGTCTGGGAGCAGATGGAGTAAAGAAGGGATATGAAACGGGGCAGAGAAGCAGGTAAACACAATTGGGTCACACCCACGTGAGAGTACCTGCCTGTATCAGTTAAACACCTGGTGATCCACATACTGAAGACTCTGCAAGTCTGTTGCCATGACAGCAACACAGCGGTTCTCACCTCATTACCAAAGATGTCTCTTCTGTCATGAATCAGGATCCAGCCCATCCGCCAGCCAGGGACCAGCCATCGCTTTGCCAAGCCGCCGCAGGACAAGATTGGCACATTGGTGCTGAGAGTTGCAATGGGTTCATACTTGTAGTCAGCAAATACCTATGACCAGAGACTGTGTTAGGGCTGTCGCTGCCTCTTACTGTGACAACTGGGTGTGAGCATGAGGCTTAACAAGAAGGGATACAGGGAAGTGGTGGGAAACCAATGGTGAAACTCACAGCTTCAAAGTATGAACATGGTTAGTGCACAGACATAAAAGCAAGCTGTTCAGGAAGAGGAAGGGAACTGGACATAAGAGGTTCCCCTAAGACTGTGCCCTAAAGGATTGGGAGCTCCAGGCATGGACCCAGGCCCTGGGAAATGGAGCTGTCCCTCACCTCTAGAGACCTGGCTGCCATGGCCAAGGATTAGGTACATCAAAAAGGTCAGGCAGCATTGCGAGTGCAAAGGACTGCAACAGACACTCACCATGTCTCCGTAGATCTCATCAGCCAGGATGGGCACACACTGTCTTGATGCCACTGTGGAAGAGAGGGCATTCAGCCTGGCCACCTGCATTCTCCATGGGAACAAGTTTGCCCTTTGCTGCAGGGCCTGGCAGAGCTCTGAGGGAAGCTCTGTCTCAGGGCACAAGGTCCCTATCTTCCTCCTACAGACTATTCATTTGGAGAGCCTGACCACTGGGGATCCCTGCCCTGACTGGGCCTAGTTCTGCTCCATTTAGTGGGGAGTGGCAGCACAGCCCTCCCTGTCAGGACAAGGAAGCACTGTGAACACTCCCAGTGCAAAGCCAGAGGGGAGAAATGAGCAGGCCAAGTCACAGAGAGCTCTTGAGGAAGATATATGCTTTGCATGATCTTGCCTAGATAAGACAGCACCTCCACACTGAGCAAGCCCTCATTCCTGAGGTTGAGTCAGTCAGAAGCAAAGCCTTTGGCAATGGTGCTGTGGTGATTGAGACATGAGCAATGGGGGCAGACACCAGACTGCAACCATGCCCCAGGCCCCAGAAACACACAGGCAGGCTCACCTGCCAGGATCTCCTGGAGGTGGCTCTTGCGGAACACAGAGCCACAGGGGTTCGATGGGTTGTTCACAATGAGGCAAGCTGTTTTCTCATCCACCAAAGACTCCAAGTGCTCCAAATCAATTTCCCAGGCCTTCTCTGGCTAGTGAAGTGAAGAGAAAGGAAAGTAAAAGCTGAGGAACTGGACTTACCACCCAAGGTCAGGTGTGCCAGGGCACCCAGGGTTACTCATGTCGCCTTCACCCACTTTTCAGGCAGGGCCAGGGTATTTCTGAGAGGAGAAATATCAGGGCTGTTCCTTCCAGGCCTGCCACAACTTACCAAGAGGTTATAGAGTTTGACCTCTATCCCCATAGACAATGCCAGAGTCTTGTAGAGGGAGAAGCCAGGCCGTGGCACCAGGATGTTCTGGCCTGGGTTGGCCAGCACTGCCAAGGCAAGCTCTATGGCCTGGCTGCAGCCACTTGTTAAGATGACATCCTGCAAAGAGCACAGAGATGTCAGTGGGAACCACAACTGCACTGAAGTACTCCGAACACACAGGAGTGACATAACATCCAGGCTCAGCTCTGCCAGGGAGAGCTTCTCAGCCAAAAAAGACAGTGCCAGGGCCTGACTGAAAGCAGGGAAACTTCAGCTGGTGGAAAGCAAAACCTCTTCCTGGGGAGGGTGGAGGTGAAGGGCTCAGGGAAGGGATGAGAGTAGCAGGAGGCCACCTTGGGACAAGATGATTTGACTAGCCTTTAGTCCTGTAACTGGGTAGGGAGGGAGAGCTGGGGTAGGGGCTCCCATGCCCTGTGGTCTGCAGGCAGCAGCACCCTGTTTTCACTGCAGTGGGAGTGCCTTAGCTGGGCACCAGTACCTGGGCCTTCAGTGGTGCCTCTGGGCAGTTGTAGTATGCAGCAACAGCTTCCCGGCAGGACTGGTAGCCTGAGGAAAGACAAGTCAGACAGGAAAGGAGGTTTTTACAGATTCTTTCCTTCTTGTTACCAGTACTGTTTCTTACCAGTACAAGGCTCACAGCTGCTGCTCATCTGGGGAAAACCCATTTGGTGGCGTCCCAGAGTGGCAGAGACTGTCCTGCCTCAGGCCAAGCATCATGCAGCCCCAAGGCTGGGCCAGAATGGCCAAGAGCAGGGACAAATCTTGGGCAGGGAGGCAAAGTCTGGCCCCAGCATGTCCCAGGTACAGAACTGACAGGAGCAGAGTGGAAGGAAGCCAGGGAGTTTTCTGAGCCAGAAGGAAGCGAAGATATGGCTTTCATTGTTTAGCAATGCCACTGGGGCAGCCCTCCCTGTCACCAGATGGAGGGCCCCATGATACAGGCATGGTCTGTGCTTTGTGCATGCTTTTCTAGTTTGCACTAACTGCAAACAAGGCTCATGGTGTCAGTGAAGTCAGGGAGCCCAAGGGAACTCCTGGTTAAGGCAGATCAGAAAGGAGCTTAGCTGTAACCCATAGCAGGGACACACAGTCCCCAAGCCCTTATAGGTTCTTGATATCCTGTCTGGCCCAATGGCTGGGGCAGCAAACAGCATCTGCAAGATCTCTGGGCCTCAAACAGCCCACACAGGAAAGAGCACACAGGTGTATCTGGGGGATGCACATACTTGTGTGTTCATGTGACTGTTGGTGACGACAGCTGTAGGGTGCTAATGGAAAGATGTCTGTGGGCTCCATATACCTGCTGTGGGGTAGCACCTGCAACATGACTTCATCCAACTCTCACAGGATGAGCTTTGTCAACTTACCAACAGATGGAGCATAACCATTGTACTGTCCTGAGTCCAAAACCTCCTTCACAGCCCGTGTGACCTCATCATTTGTGGGAAGGTTTCCAAAGACCGTCGGGTCTCCTTTTCAAAGATCAAAAAAACAGTAAAGTTCTCACTGATCTGTGACAGGCACAGAGCTGTGTGGTTGTCTGACCTATCCCTTGGTGTTCGCACAAACTTTGTGCTTCAGAGCCCTGCAATCTGTCAGCCACACAGTTGATCCAAATACCTGGAGGCTTCAGCCACAGGACTATGCTCACCTAATGACAAGGAGATCATGGCTTTCTTTGGGTTGGGTTCCACCTTCATGCTGTCTACAATGGCTCGGATGGGATTGAAAGTCTTCTTTGACATTTCAGAAGCCCTTACAGCCCATCTTGGCTTCCGACCCTTCACCTTCCCTGGTGATATGGTGTTCCCAGTGTTCTTGAGATGAACATCTAGCATAGGGGCATGATGTCCATGGCCATTCACTTGGATCAGGTACGAGTCCATCCTGAGAGCTGTCAGTGCAAAGTGAATTTCTGGTCTTAGTTAACACATGTCAGACAAGGAATCTTGTTTGGGGATGCATTTGGGGATGCAGCCCATAAGTAAAACTTCCAAAATCTGTAGACACTACCTACTGCCTATGGACAAAGCAGCAGCGGCAAGTAGGGCCATATTTGGTGCCAGGATGTAGTGAAACCCCATGCATAAGTGAGAGAGAAATACAGAGGGAAAGATTAAAATACTTCTGTGTGTTAACTGCACTCCTGCCTAGTATGGACCTCCTGCACTGAGGAAGAAAAAGCCCTGCTAAAGCCAGAAGCCAAGAATTAGCAGCATGTTGTAGTCAGTGCTTGACTGCAGATTCAATATTCCACTGACAGAAGGAGCAGGTCACCCACTTTCTCCCCCCAGCTATCAACTTGTTCACCTCAACCTGCATACATAAGGGCTGGCCCACTATGTGTGTTCATATGCAGTATGTTCCTCCAGTCTACAGACAGAAATGCAGCACTAGAAATCAAATATCAGATGCCAAAAAGGCAGTTCTTCTTTAATGTTATCAGGATGCACTGGGCAGCGGCAGGATAGAGGTTAGACACTTCTGTCAGCAGAGAACAGCCCAGCCCAGAGAGCCTAGAGCAAAAGGCAATGCTTAGGAAATGGAGCAAGACTTGGCCATCTTAGGAGATTCAGGAGGCAGCACTGAGGCAAACAAAGGGCCTGTAGTTCAACCTGAAACTGAGTAAAAAACAAGGCAGAGCTGCCTCCAAGACCCAAAAAAGGACACAAAAGTGACTTACACATCCCAGCATGTTATACCCAGAACACGAGCTAGACCAGGCAGGAAAAGCCTAACTTACAAACTGATGATGACTCAGGGATTTCCACCTGCAGCTTAGGATAGGGCACAGAAGAGGCAGCCCTCCTGAGCCACAAAGTCGGTTCTTGCTAATACTGGAACACTACCTTCTAATCCTGCCACAAACTGCTTTCTCTTCTGTCCTATTTCTCTGCTTCACTGAAAAGCAATTCAATAAACAGTGGCCCTTTCCTGATGGTAGTTGCATAGCCCCATACTCGCAGATACAGCACAGCTTCCCCTTCCTTGATGCAGAGACTGAGCCAGAAGGGCTATAGTGTTACCTGGTTCAGACAGGATTTGCTATCTCAACAAATTTCTCACTGTTTCAGTGAAGTTCACACCTAGAGATGCCCATGCTGCTGCAGTTACTCTACCAGCAGTGCATTATTAGGCCATTTATAGCAACTCAGGCTGATCTTACAGGATCACAAAGCAAGATTTCAGCTTTTCTGCTGAAGCCTTGTGTTTCCTTTCCACCAGAAGAAAGTCAGCTGAAGAAATATACAGCAGGGCTGCACAAAAAACTCAGCCTAGAAATGGGCCATGTATCTCAATTCAACAGCTGGGCTGTGCCCCAAGTACACAGTCTATACTAGCAGAGCCCTTACACCACCTTGCAACATGGTCCTTCTGAAAAGGGGAGCTGTAGAAACAGGCACAATAGATACCTTCAGTGCAGGCGGCCAGGGAAGAACTCCCCACTACCCACCTGAAAGAAGCAAGGCACCAGAAAACAGCACCTTACCTTCTACAGCACAGACACGGAGACACCAGCAAGCCTGGGGGCCCAGTCCCTAGTTTTCATCCAGGACAAATCCCCTTGAGAGGAAATCCTGTGAATTTTTGCCCATGAAATAATCCCCAAAACTGGGCGTTGAGACTGAATCATTTAGCCATTGGCCCACAGAGAGGGCTGCTCTCCCCACCCAAAAATGACCTCTCCTCCCCTTTGCAACTGTAGTCCCTTCAAACGCCTGGAACATGGCTCTGCATTAACTCTTTCTGGGGGCAGCCTAAGGAGACAGCTTGGCTTCCTGGCGTGCCTGGGTTGCCACCCTTTGCCACCACTTTCCCCAGTCTGCAAACACTGCTGGGGGCAAACTGCAGAGTCCAGGTATTCCAGCACTAGTACCTTGTGATTCAATGAGAGTGGATTGATGGATCATAAAGCTTGAGGAAGCCATCAGTCTGTTCTGACTTAAGAGTTTCTGGGATCCCAATGCACCAGCTGACAAACACCGGTTTGTGGCTTCATTACAATTGGGAGGCATCTTCTTCAATAAACTAAAGGGAGGAAAGCACTTCCCTAGCCAGTGCTTTGGAGGCACCAGGACCTGAAGGATTAAAGTAAGCTCAAGTCGTCATTGGTTTGGAGGGTTTTCTTGGTTTTTTGGGTTTTTTTGGGTTTTTTTTTCTGTTTGGTTTGGTTTGGGGTTGTTTTGTCTTTTTTTTGTTGCTGCAAGACCCAAGTAAACTCATAATTCTGGCAGCCAGCAGAAATTATGCAATTCTTCCCTCTTTGATGGTATTGCAAACCACAGATGATACCATTCCCAGAAGGCCCTTTTTTGCTAAGTGATGTGAACCTATGGCTTCCTTCCTCTTAATTCCTGCATGCCTGGGATAAATGAGAGACATCTGCACTCTTCCTGCCTTCCAAGGGCTCCTCCAAGTCTTCCCTTATTGCCATGGCAGCAGATGGCCAGAGACTGAAGAGTTGCTCAGGGACAAGAGGGCCTTGCCAACCTTCGAGCAAACAGTCTGCTGATGCCTTCACTGCAGAGGCCAGTGGTCACTGTGAATTTTACCTGTTTATACCTGCACCCAAGTTGGAAGACAAAGGACCTTGCATTCAACCCATGCTCACTGCACAACCATCTGTAAGGCTGCACCTCCCCAGGTGACATGAGTGGCCCCTTCCCTCAGTGCTGTGGCTGGGCTGACGCTGCTGGGGAGCCATGACCTGCTGTTGACCCCAGTATTGCAATGGGCACTTCTGAGGCCACACTGGGGGCCAAGGATTCAGGGTTGGAGGCAGGTTGGAAGGCAGTGGAATGCAGACAGCAGGTCTAGCCAGGATCCTTAGCCCCAGACTGGAGGGCAGACTTCTCATTGCAACTAGCCCCAAGGCCTTTGGACAAGGAATAGCACCTTTCAAAACCCTTTCACAGAGCAACATCTTGTATTGAAGCTGTTTGGACTGTCTTCCGCTGAGGGCTACACAATTTCTCTCTTCTTTTCACTGAAACCTGACATGAGTAACCTTTGGAAGTTTATGCAACCCAAGCACCTATGGGTTATTTTCTCACTTCCCTCAGTTGGCCCCATCTCTTGCCATGCTGCAGCTCTGGCAGGGTTAAACACAGCATTGGGAGGCTTCAAGGACGATGCTGTATATTCTGCCTAGCAACAATCCCCAAACTGACGCAACTGGAGCCCTACCTGTCATACTGCACACAGCAGTGAGGTTCAGGGGAGGCCACAGTGGAAGTCTGTTGCCAAGGTGGGGAAAAATGTTGCTCTGGAGACATAGGAGGTTCAGTTACATAAGGCTGAGAACCTGGTGAGAAGCAGGGTGAGGACAGAAGTGTACAATGGCACCAGTGGGTTTCTCCGGCTATTACAATGCCCTTCTCCTCTCACTGCATGACTCCAGTCCTCCTCCAGACAGTTTCACATGAGGTATGCAGCCCCTATCCTCCCACCCCTTGTTGTGCGGTGTTTCACAGGACAAAAGCATGAACACACAATTCAGCAGTTAGTATTCTAGAAATATGGCCAAGCCATCCTTCCCTGGTGCAGTGAAAGAAGCAGCCATACCCTGTAGGATGTGTTTCTGCTAGCAAGGCTGCCATCTCTCTGCACTGTCAGGTCCTATGCTCCCCACTAACATCCCACCCCACTGACTTGCCTCCACTCTCTGTAGTTTGCTCCTCTGTGCGAGCAGGTCAAGCCCACAGGTATCTTGTGCATACCTCTTCAGCTCCCTCTTTCTTGTGTAGCTTGAGCAATTGATTTTTATCCCTTCCCATTGGAAGGAGAAACTAATGATAACTTCAGCATTTTTTATGGTACTGCCTTTCTCTGGTAACAGGGCTTCCAGAGTCCCATTTCTGTGAGCAGAGGTGAAGCCAGTAAGACCAAGCAATTTGGCTTCCAGACTAAGCTGCAGACACAAAGCGGGACTGGCTAACAGCTGCTTGAGGAGAGCACAGGCTCAAGCATTGTTGCACTGACAAACCTGTCTCTGTCAGACTGCAGGTAGGTCATGCACAAGGATAGTTTTGCCAATTCAAGGTGCACTGGGAGGTGCAGGGACAGACGCCCAACTAGTACTCTGCATAAAAATCCACCAGGGTTGGTAACAAATTACTTCACTTGTTACCTCCTTATATTTTACTTTTATTTCCAGCAATTTATGTCTACTCCTTCCAGCAGACTGCACTCCCTGGCCACTGACCACTGTGGTGCTGGGTGGGGACAGAGTCCAGCAGGTACAGGAGTCTTTGCTTGCTCAGCTTGGGCACTGAGTCCATAGCCAGCACATTGAGAGACACAGAGTGCACTCCAGGTTTGTGGGGAGTTGGAAGCACCAGTGAGCTACAGGCCCAACAGCCACGATTAAAACTTGCAATTCCTGTTACAGATGCTGAGAGGAATGTTCCACAAAGTGTGTGTGTTACTGGTTCCTGAGTACAGGCACAGGGAAAGAAAACATATTGTCCAGACTTGTGTCTGTTTACATCCAGGTAAATATTATCCAGGTAAGTGCATATCCTGTGTTTGACTTACGGCTTCAGAGACTTGAGCTGTTGCATGATATGTCATAGCAGCTGTCCTCCAACGGCCTTGGAGCCACTGGAACAGTAACCAGCTAATGGGGGTGGTGTGGAAAGGGGTACAGTGGCTTTGTGGCATGAGATGACACTGTGAGCTTATAGTGGGTGGTGTGGGCAGCACCAGCACTTCCTTCTCACAAGAACACAAATGGGCCAGCCTTCTCATGACTGAATTACAGCCCCAGTGATGGAAACCTACTATCTGCTTACTAATCCACTCCTGCAATAACTGTTCATCTCCTTATAAAATTGTGGACTTGGAGTGTGTGTGAGAAACATTGAGGGTGCCTAAAATAAATCCCTTTTGCTTGAAGCTAAGCTCTCTGTTTTCTGACCATGCCAACAGCAAACAGAGTGAACAAAATATTTCCCTGCTCTTGACAGGAGTTTTTTACAAGTTTGCAAGTTGTCAAGATATCTCTCTATTTACAAGCTTGCAAGCTGTTAACAGATGCTAGTTATTTCAAATGAGATGTCTGTGATCAATCTTTTTCTCACAGGTTGTATTTCTAGATATTTCTTTTGCTTTCTTCTGAATCCCCTCCAGCTGATCCACTTGCCTCTGGAAACACAGTGTGCAAGACTGAGGCCAAGCCGGTGCTGAAGTGGGGGCAGAAGAATTTCTTCACACGTCCTACATGTGACATTCCTGTTCATACACCCTAGAAATGTTAGTTTTTTCGCAATAGGGTGACATTGTGGACTTGAGTTCAGTTTGTCATTCACAGTAACCTCCAGTTCTTTTCTACAGTACTGCTCTATCGTCATCATGCTGCACTCATTGTCCCTGTGATTATTTATTTATGTGGGACAGTCAATAAATCTGGTTGTGGTGTTCAGCAGTGATTGTGCTGCAGCTCCCAGCTGCCTCAAACTGGACACATAGGAGGCAGTTCATGACTTGCTGCTACCACTTTACCCTCCAAGTTCCCAGGGAGGGCACTGAACCAGGTCAGAGCTCTTGGTCCATGGCAAGCCAAACCAGATCCTTCCCCCCCTTAGCACAACAATGATATCAGAAGTAGCCAGAACCAAAGAAGCCAAAAATAATACTAATAAATAATTACAAAGAGAAGCCAGAACAGTGGTGAAGATTAATATTGGTATCCTCAATTTCCTATTGCTCTGTTCTGCTGACTGGTATTTGTTGCAGTGAGAACAGGAACCCAAGAGGAAGATGTTCAGCTACAGAACTTTGAGCAGGAGTGAAGTGACACAAAGCATGTTTTTAAGATTTCTCATTATAGCAACAGAAATTAAATAAGACTGACTCACTTCTACAGTATCTTGAAGCTTGTACCTTACTTTTTAGCAGCAAACACTCTAGTAGAACACTGAACACATCTCCAACAGAGCAAGACTTCCTGTCTTTGAACAAGTAAATCACACACAAATCCAAAGAAAGCTTTATCTCAGTTTGTTGGATGACCAGCAGCAACACTCTGCATAAGAAACACTTATTTCATCCCTTCCTGTGACTCATGATTATTCAACTTAGTTCTTCATGTCCCTTTCAGTTAAAAGGTCTACTAAGAAAAATTGCACTGTGCATGACCCTAAAAGTTCACAAATGGTTGCTAAAACTTTTAAACCCACCCAGCAAGGAGGCCTGCTTTCTGCCACGTCAACATAAGTGATGCAACATGTGCTGGTGAAAAGGTGTGTGCAACAGCCTCACTGCTGAGCACCTGCACTATCTCCAGACTTCTCATCCTAAGCTCCCTATGGATTCTCCATTTTTTAACTTCACACACAATTTCTTTATCTGAATTGGGCATTGAAACAATGGTTCTTTTGTTTTCTTTCTCTCTTACCTCATTCTAACTAAATTTTAAGATGCATTTTCAGATCTCCAGTCCTCTGTGGAATCAGGTGAAGTGTTGAGGAGAGTGTTTTCCTACAGTGCTGAAGTGTAGTTTTTAGGCTTTTCATCACATAAGTCTATAGGGTTATTGCTGTTGCTCCTGTAGAGACAGAAGGGTGAAACAGTCTTACTGTTGCCATCAGTCTTGCAGAGGGAGGAAATGTATTTCTGCATCTTAGACAAATTTGGAATGTGTGCCTCTCAGGGCACATATTCAAGTACTGTGTCTGAGACCTTACAGTATAACTGTTTTCCCAAAAATGTGTTTTCCTAAATGCAATGAAAGCATTTATTTGCCTTTTTTTTCTTTTTTTTTTTTTCCTTTTTTTTCTGTAAAAGCAAAGAGCTTTTACAGGCAGTGTTTGGTCAAACTCTTGAATAAAAGCATTTGCTCTGAATGTGGAGTTTTCTGTATTTCCAAATTGTCCTGCTGTTTACTTTTCTCCCTTTCCCGAATCAGCTCTGCCCTTACCAGCCCTGAGAAATGCTGACACTTGTACATGGGTGAGAGCCTGGATGCTTGCCTTCACTCCGGCCACCACCAATACCACAGGAGTAATTCATCACCTCCTCTGCTGGCAGGTGATGGCTGCTGTGCTAAGGGGTCTACCAGGATGGGAGGACACACTGGCAGCAGGACATTATTGTCAGTAAATGGTCCCATCATATAGTCTGAAGTGGCCTCTGGCAAAAAGACACCAAACGGGTCTATTTGGTTCTGTATGGCTAAATATAAGGTAATGTATTTAAAGAAAATTACCTGAACACCTGAACATGGTCCGCCAAGGGCTGAACTGGAACCTCACAGCTGCAACTGAAGGACAGATCCCATGGTGTTAGTGACTGTATCAGGAGACACAGGCTCTGTCCTGGGGCAGCTGGAGAAGCAACAAAATGCTGTGTGTTGCCAGGACAAGACAGACAGTTGTTCTGCTGATGTAAACTGCCAGTGCACTTGTGTCTTGAGTGCTGCATAGAGGTGCAGTCACTGCATCACAGGATGGGTTTAGGGGAGTTAGGGCAGGCCCAGAGAGGCTGGGAGTGGGGTTGCATACGGGAACAGAGAGGCACGGATGAAGTTTACAGAGGCACGAGGTGGCAGAAAAACTGAATTAAGAACACACACCAAAACTCACAGCACAGGAAAAGGCAGAACGTGTACGATTGTGAAAATTTAGTTAGTTAAATTTAGTCAGTTTCCAGTGGGTTCTAACAAGCATGTTCTGTGGCAGGTGAAAAACCTCGAGACGTTATGGCCACAAGGGGCTGCGGGGAGTGTGTCCGTGGGCCGAGGGGGAGCGGGCACACACGCCAACAGCTGGTGAACCGTGCGCAGGTGCCGGAAGACCGCGCACCTGCGCCGGGGAGCTGAGCACCTTCAGACGGGGCAGGGCCTAGCCCGGTCGGCGCTTCCACCACTTCAGAGAAGCGCCGGCGCGGCGGAGGCGAGCGGACGAGACGGAGTTCACCGCGCTGGCGGTACCCCGGGGCGGCCCGGCCCGGCCCCCCGTCCCCAGCGCCCGCGGAGCGGGGCCGCGCCGGGCCATGGCGGAGCGGGGCTAGGGCAGCGGGCGGTGCGGGCAGCGGGCGGGCTGCCGCGAGGGGTCCGGGTCGGCGCCGGGGCTGAGCGGACCGGACTGGCGGCGGCAAGTGCCCTGGACGGGTCACTGCCATCCCTGCCATCATCTCTCCTTAGCGCCGTACCCGCACCAGAGGCAGAGGGGCCGCGGGGAAGCCGCACCGTGCCGGGGTCGCTGGAGCGCCGGCGCTGCCTGTACCTGCGCACGGGCCGGGGTGAGCGCGGCCCGCGGGAGCCGCTCCCTCCGTCCCGCGGAGCGCAGCGTCTGGCCCGGCTCCCCCCCGGGCGCTCCTCTGTGGCCGCAGACTCACCTCGGCCTCCCCTCCAGCCTGCTGCCAGATGGTGGAGGTCCTGCTCGCCGCCCTGATCCTGGTCTGCAGCTCCGTGTCCTGCGGCTCGGCGGGAGGATACACCGGCCTCCCCGCCCTGGGGGGCATCTACTACTACCAGTACGGCGGGGCCTACAGCGGCTTCAGCGGAGCGGATGGGGAGCGAGCCCAGCAGCTTGACCAGCGTTTCTACCTGCTGAAGCTGCCCATTGCAAAGGCAGCGATGGTCGTGGGAGGATGTCTCCTGGTCTTCCCGTGTGTTCTAATTTTGGTTGGTGTTCTTCAGGTCCCGTGGCACTTCCCAGTATGGCTGCTAATTGAATGCACCTTGCACATAGTGATTGCAGTTGGCACAGTGCCTGCTCTCTACTATTTCCTCCATTCTCTGCTGAGCGTTTATAATTCATCAGTGTGCAAAGAGAGAGAGCAGCTTTATCAAAGCAAAGGCTATCAGGGCTTCTGGTGCAGCTTGCATGGGGCAGAGATTGCTGCTGGTCTGTTGGGCTGCATGGCTGCCATGGCATACCTGCTCAGTGCAGGCCTAGCTGTCAGAGATTATAGGACAGTTCATGAACAGAAACAGAAGCCACTGCAATTATAAAACTCAAATGATTCCTGCACTCCAGTAATGGTCTTGATTTTTGCCAGTCTCGTTACTGAGATGAAGCAGTATGCTTTCCTTTCTTCTGGACAGTACAGCCTTAATGCTACAGAACACCCACCAAGCTGGCATAGTTCTAAATATGGTAGAGTCAGGTTATTCCTAACTTGAATTTGCACTATTGAGTTATTAGTGGCTCAAAGCTGATGCAGTGGATTGTCTCTGCTTTGCTACAAGTACGGCCGCTACATGCTTCTGTCAATTAACAGCTTTTTGTACCTGAAACTGTCTTTACAAAAGGCATGTGACTCTGCTGAGAAAAGAGCTCTTAAAAACAAGTGACTGAGGCCCATGATTGTGACAGTTAAATATTGCTTCCTTGTAGGTCTCTTGGAATTAACAGACCTGTGTGAACATGACATTTATAAGGCCATGAAAAAATCCTGAAAAAACCTCTCAAACTCAGTCTAACTTGTGATACAACGCCTTTTCAAATTCCTGGAGAGGGTGCATTTATGTATAAAATGGTCTTTTTATATAACTTGTATATAAGACTTTTGCTTAAAAAGATGCCCTAGATTGGGATAATCAGACAAAAGCTTTAGGAGATAAAATTGGTGATTCAATATAGAAGTATATTGTTTTCAAAATACATTTTCAATGTAGAAGTTGGAGAAATGAGATGCTGCTCTTAATTTTTTTTTTTAGAAAAACTTTTATAGGACGTTTAACTGGGAAAAAATCACCAACTCATGTCTCAAAATGAAATGCCATTTCAGAGCAGTGTCCATTGTGTGGATTGCTCATATGAGGCTGGAACCACCACAGTCTCACAGATAAGTTCTGTCCATATTAAAAAACTAAACATACCAGAAACGTGCTTTGCCTTGGACATAGCTCTTCTTTCACTGGCACCAGTGACTAAATCCTTACAATTATCAAAACCATGGAACACTATTAGAACTAGAGACATTAAAGTAAAACAGATGCCAAGTAGGAACACACTATGTGCTTTTTGGGGTTCGCTTTTTTTTTGCCTTTTAACATCAAGTGTCTCAGCACAGGGATTTACGTGGACCTGTTTTTGGATTTACAGGACTGTTGTCCTGTTTCTGCTAACATTTCTGTATTTCCTCTTGTTGCAGCTACTTCTAGAGCTGTACAGTGCTATTGAGAGCAAGTTCACAGGGCAGCATTCCTCTAGCAGGAAACAGAAAGCTGCCTTAATAACTGGTAAGCCGAATTCCACCCTCACAGTGTTCTGAAAGAAGTTTTTGTATGGAAGGCTGATGAGTGAAGTAGCACATAGTGCTCAGTGAATAACCTGCAGCACAGCTGCTGCTAGACACAGCTACCTTTGAATGGGATATTGCAGAGATTTTTTCCAGCACAGTAACAGAATCAGAATAAGCTGTTAGATGAAAGTAAAAATCTTTATTGCTAAGTCAGCTGAAAATTCAATGCAAAAATACTCTTCCTTCATCAACTTCTCTATACATCTGAATAAAGAATCAGTGGACTAGTGTTTTCCAACAATCACGTTATTTGCCTTTCCAAAGCAGTACATAGGCCACAGTGCGGAGGGCACATTCATTGGACAACCTACTCCCACACACTATAAAAACAGGGATCATTATAGGTGCATGCTAGAGTGGGATACAGAAAATACTCTCCTTTTTAAAAACAAAAAAAAAGCATGAAAAAGGATTATTTAGTAAACAGTTGGTACACTGCAATAGTTAACATGCGCCAGATCATATTAATAATTTTAAAAAGGTAACATTTTAAAATGTGAAAAAAGAGGAAAAATACAGTTGAGTCTTTAGAAGAGCAATAGAACAGCAGACAATGATTGCACAAGACCAAAGAGGTGATCTGCCTGAAGAAAGGCCTTTGGCAAGTGACACAAAAGCCACCAGCATCTGTCTGGAAGGAGTGCAGAAACCCCACAGGTCCAAAGCCTTAGGTGTGGTTGAAGGTCCTGTGTACTACAGGAAAGATTTTAGACTTCACAGCAGCTTGTCCCTGAGAGAGGAAAATACTTCCTCCTCCTTGGAACAGGATGTTACCCTCCCATCTAACTGAAGACTGCAGTCTGGTATGAGCAGTCTGTGATGCTGCTTCCACTGGGCCTGTTCCTTGTTCTGGGGGCAACTTGGAGGCTCTTACCTTTAACACCTGGGCCCCCACTACCCACCACTCAATACAGAAGCCTTTCTGGACAGGACAGGACAGAGCAGTGCCTTCAGAGTACCTGTCTCAGCAAGCATGCTTATCAGCAGAGCCAGAATTACTGAAGAGATGGACCAGCAACCTCCTCAGCCTCACTTGGCTGTGGCTACGTGCAGTGTGGGAGGGCTTGCATTGCTCAGCAGGGACAAAATAGCCAGAGGACCTCAAGGTGAGAACCCCTCTCTAACAGAAAGTCTGCAAGTGAGTGGGACATTCTCAGTGATGTGGTTATGTGATGATCACATAGTATCTCTGTAAAATCAGGGAAGGGACTGGAGAACAGGAAGATAATTGGGATGACACTTTCTATACCCTGCTATGAGTCCTTCAGTAGACTGCCCATTCATACCTGTTCCACCTACAGCAGTGCTCCTTGGGAGCTTGAAATCTAAGGTAGTGTTAATAAATAAAGTAGGGGAGACACAAAGGGAGGAAGGAAAACAAAAGGTAGTGGAGGGAAGCACTCTGTTCTGTGAGTTGTCCTCACCAGACAGATGAAGATAACCCAGCCACACCACTGTCTGACCAATGTCAGAAAAAAAACAATTTCTTTGGATGACAGTGACCTTGAAGCGTGTCTCAGCAGTTGGAATCTTTTGTTAGAAAATCCAAGACATCTGCATGAAAAAATTACGCCAGTGTCTTTGCTGACACCCAAAAGTGGCCTAGGAAAAAGCAGCACTTTTTGTGATGAACAGGCACTATTTTTAATGCATGAAAAAGATTTTGGATGACTGGAGAAAAAGCATCACAATGCTGTGGCTGAAATGGAAAAGGAAAAGCTTAATCCTTGGAAGAAGCACATGGAAAATATGCAAAAGCTGCTTGAGGACACCAGCGCTTGTCTTAGTCAAATAGAGAAACACTATTTGGAACAGCTAAAGTCAACTCAGCCTGTGCTGCCCAGAGTCCATAATACCAGCTTCACAGAAATCTGTGGATTCTTCCTGGAATGTAAGAAAGATAACAAGCCATGTCTTCCATGACAGTTCACACCCATAGAAAATAGGAGCTGGCTGTATTTAAACTCCCTTTCTGCTTCAAAACCAGAAACAGCACTGGAGAAAAAGTCGAAGTAGGCATTCCTTCTGTTCCATTCTGCCACTACCTCCAAGAGATACAGTTCAGAAATCTGCATGCTCTGTTGCAGAGCTGTGTTTTTCTTATTCCTTCAACACTGAGATAGGTAGAGCCATTCATTACTAACTCCTTGTGGCAATTCTGCATGCAATAGTACTGATTCAGACTGGCAAGGATACACTGGACTTTCCATATCAGTGCAAGAAATAGAGACCTGATTTGCATTCATACGTGCTACTCAGAGTGCAGGACTTGTCAGAGTCTTACTCAGAAATAAGGGTTTCTGCATCAGTCCCATACTGAATGGAGGCTGTTCCACAGCCCTTTCAGATATCAGAAACTGTGAGGCTAGGCACAGATATTTGGTAAAATTATCACCAGTAACAGAATCAAAAGTTGCAGCTGAATACATTGGGATGAACCTCTCCTGCATACTTATATGATGATAACTTATATGAAAGAGTTTTGGGGTTTAGCATTTGAACCTTTTCTGCTGTTTCTCCTATGCCTAAAGGATTCAAATCCTGTTGTTTCTGTGACTGTAAGAGTTAGCTTCAACCTCCAGTTCCAAATGAAATAAGCATTTAAACAACCAAAAATTGTGAGAGTTTAAACTTTGCAAAAAGTTGGGTTGTTTCATGATTACAATCCTAAAATGTTGCTCCTCGTGCGTGATAGAAATACCTTTTTTCCTTAGTGAGAAGAAATTCAAGGTGCTCTGAAATCTCAGTAAAATTCCATTAGATTTTGTCAAAAGATCTATATTGACAGAATTTCACAAACAGTCTGCACAGTATTTCCTTCTGAGTAATGTCCAAATTTGATCCAAAAATAGACAACTCAAGCCCCTCAGATCTCTTCAGAAGAAACGTTTATGTTTTCTTCATAAATATATAATTAATGAAGAAAAGGCACTAGCCCACATCACAGTCAGGATTATTGCACCACTGACATGACAGGGACAGCTGCTATCCAGCTCTGTCAGGAAGGAAGACAGATCTGCATGCTACAGAGGCAGTGACGTCCACAACCCTTATACAAGATGACAACAATTGCAGCCAACTTACACCCTGCACCAAAAATCCTAATGGAAACACAAGGCATCTGAGTGCAGACTAGCCAGTTCATCATTAGTGGGACTGTTTTAAACATCTTTTCAGTGCTGATAAAAATGTGAGTAAGATGAAAAGTTTAATTTTTGCTTTTGTGCTGAAGGCTTAGCAGGAACAAGTACACTTTCACCTTGTTTGTGGCCAAATTGGGCACATACCATGAAATGCTGGTTGCTGTGTATTTGGAATATGACTCCTGCTTCTAGAGGCAAGCAAAGATGCTGTAGCTGACAATGCAGAGGCTTATGTTGACAGAAAAGAGCACTGGATGCTTCTGCCAGTCTTACAGCACACCATTGTTTACAGCTTAACTCTTGTGACTGACCACTGAGACAAGCACAAGCTCCTGGCTTTATCCCATGTCTTCTGTAGAGGAAGCCTCTACTGTGAAGCATCCATGATGAAGGTGGCCAGGCTGCTGCTGAGGTGGGTCTGTGCTCTGCAGCTAGAACCACTAGATCTACACATTGCCTTAATCAACTGATTAAGTCCTGATCTTTTCTATGCTCCATATAAAATGCATCGGTTGGCACCTGCTTATCACTCAGCTATGTGTTTTCTCATCCTGCACAGAATGATCCCATCATAACCTTCACTCTCCCCTACACCAGTGCCCATCAGAACACTGGTACCCTGAGTCCTCCACTATCCTAAGAACATCCATTGGGAAAAGTCCACAGCATACCTGCTGTGGAGTGCTTTCTCCCCTAACCCTAAATAATAAAGTGCTGGGCTGAAAGGGAAAAGAACAGCTTCAGTGCAATAAATAAAAGTGCTTGCAATTAATGTAGGAAACCATTCTCAGGTCAGCTTCATTGCAACTGTCTGTACTCGTTCAAGGAATAACAAAGTCAGGTGCTGGTGGGGAGGGTGGGACACTGCATCAGAAATATTCACAGGACTCTAAACACTGAGCATTTCTCTCTCAGCAGCCTCCTCACCCCATACACACATATGCCAGCCCCTGTCCAGCACAGCTGGCAGAATCTCAGGGTTCAAGGACTTACCAGACAGTCCCTAACACAGAGCTTAGCTGCTGATCTGTGTGCTCATAGAACAACTGAGATGCTACAGTGGTTAAGTGGACAGCCCAGATGGCCTTCCTGATTCTTCCTCAACTCCATTAAGGAAGCAGCAGGTGTCTGTACTCCTTGCAGATCCCAGCTCCCTCAGAGGGCATGACAGCCCTTATTAAACAGAGCTTCCTGGGACAGATAATGTGGGAATGGTACTTGTAGGGTTACAGAGCTGTGTCAAACTCCTCCGGCAGGGATGCTGCATGTTCTTCTTTCAGCTCCTGATCTGCTCTGTCCTCCTGGTGCTGCTTCATTTGTTCCTTCACTTCCTCTTCCAGATCAGGTGGCACCACAAATTGATCTTCTGGCTCCATCTGGGATGGAGCAGCAAAATAGCCTGTCTTCTTCTTGGGTGCCTCTGTCGCTACTTCTATGAGGTTGAGGCTCTCCTCCAAGGGCACTATGGAGCCATTGGAAAGCTTCTTTCCATAAAGACAACATGTGGAAAGAGATTTTTGGAGTTCACACTTCTCCTTAACCCCTCTCTGCACAGTGTTGCTGTTTACACTGTTCTGCCTCCGAATGATGAGTACAAGCCCAGAGTCATCCTCTGGCCCTGGAGCAGAAGAGCTGTACTCTGCAGCAGGATGTTGCAATTCCAGACTCTTTCCTTTACAGCAATGGATGTCCACTTCTACCTCCACTTTACTGCCATTTGTCATCACACCTTCCACAGGCTGCTCATCATCACTATCTAGACCATTGTCAGACTGGTTGCTAGAGAAGGTGGCACTGGAAGGTTGGCGCTGAAAGATGCTTGAGGGGGGCACAGGATGTAGGCTGCAACGTCGTTCTTGTCGTGGTAGCAAGCTGCCATCGAGACCAACAGCATTGTGTTCATCTGATGCAGTAGAGCCCACCTCACTGCTAACCTCAGAAGCAGACAGTTCACTGCTGAACTCTGAAGCAATTCCACTGCTACATGAAGGTGTTGCTGGTTTGGTGGTAGTAGAACTAAATCCCCCAGGGCCTGTCAGAGTGAGGCCGTGCATCTCACACGTGCAGTTGTCCTCACTGATGTTCAGACATACCACCATTGCACCAACATTGTCTTGGCAACCATAGCTTTGGGCTAAAGTGCAGAGTTTCTTTGCTGCAGCTAGTGGGTCGTGTAGGTGCCGCACAGCTGAGACAGCCTCTGCATAAGAAAGGTGTTCCCAGAGAGCTTTGTTCCCTAGAAGTAGCAATTCATCTTGTACAGTCAGTGGAATGGAACTGACATGTGGTTTGGGCAGGATCCAAGGATGCAGGTATGTGCAGCCCAGCATCCGAGTACAGCAAGTCACACCATTGACTTTATTGTCCTGCAGACAAGAGAAATAAGGCAGTAGCATGGGATGTGCTATTAGATAATTTAGAAAGCAAACTTGCTCCTGCTCATATGCTGGTTTGGAGCCTCGAGAAATGTCAGTTACACAGCTGCAGCACTGGAGAAAGGGATCTAGGTGCTGGTACTACAGCGCATGCACTATACCTAATGACCAGGTACAATAAACGCCATCACCCATGCTGGCAATAACACACTTTTATCCCACAAGACTTTTTGTTGTACTCTGAAGAATTGTAGCAGACAATTCTGAAATGTGCAGCTAGACTACCTGCAGTACACTGATCAGAGAGTCTCACTGATTAGTCTTATGTGAAACTTATTTTTTTAGCACAAGTGAGACAGTGACTTTTGACTTTCTCAGTGCAAGACAGGTTACCCAGACACTAATCTATTTCTGTGTATTATCTGAACTATTTCCCTCTTTATTAATATATAACTGCATTCTGAATCATGGACACTACAACCCGAGGACAAAACGAACAGGTAGGTATCTCAAACTGTTTCTGTAACCAGGATGTATTACGTCCTTCTGCTAGATGGTCCCCTGGCCAGCCTGGCAGTTGTCTACCATGAAGAGAAGTGCCCACAACCTTCAGTCCCTTTTCCAAGTCAGTGTTTTGAGTTTAATTTCAGCGTTCTTAATTTCTGTATCCTCTGGGTGTCAGCACTGCTGCTGCCACAAAGTATTAAAACCTAGCAGATGAAATGCACAGGGAAGTCTCTTATACAGTAATTTCACTTTTCTTTTTCAGAATCCATTAATGAGCCAGTTTTTATTTAACATGCTACATTAGTCCCATAGTTATTTTCAGTCAGTAGCTGCAGTGCTATGCCTTGAAGAGCTGTAACACAGTGACACATTACGCTTATGAAAAACACTTCTATCTAGCAACTTAATACAAGACCCACTGCTGAGCATACAACTACAGTGATTGGCACTCATTTCTCAAGATCTTTACAGATGTATTTTTCCCACTCTTTGTAACTTTCCTGTTATTTCCAAGTGTTTAAAAAGTTAACATTTACCAAGTTCTCTAGAAATCATTTTAATAGTTTTGCATACTACAAGTCATCCTGTAACCATAGTTCTTAGGCCAAAGTGCTTAGGAACATGCAATTTTGGACAGCAAATCAACAAATGAAGCAGAGCAGGAAGCACTAGATCAGAACCTTCATGTCACCCTCTCCCCTGTTATGTTATGCAGACAATCAAGCTCATGTATTTGTACCAAGCTTTTATGTGAGTGTGGAAGCTGAAGTGGAAAGGGTCCAAACCAACCTCTGTTATAATGGCTTTTTGTTCCTTGACTCTCCTGGCTTCTTCTGAACATTGTTCAAGACTGAAGACTTTGGAGAGAGGCAGTGCTTTTCCACTTCGGCACAGAACGGCTTGGCACGTCCCCACATTGGCCACCGTCAGAGAAAAGTTGCTGGCTGGATCAGCCACCTCATTACGAATGTAGCAAAGGACAGCAGAGGAACCCAGCTTCTGCCCAGCCATGCCCAGCTTTCTGTTGGAAGAGAAAGTGTAGGAGGCTCCAGACTCTACTGACAGGCATTCTGGAGGGCTAACATATTGATATACCTAACATATTGATATACCTTATGCAAGTCCCACTAGGACCAGCCTGCTCACTGTCCTACCTGTGGGAGACCAAGAAGGTGTTGGACATGAACATGGTGTCAGACTGCTGTACCTCCTCCAGGAGCACATCGGCCATGGTGCACTGCAGCAAACGTGGCAGTTCTTCATTCTTGTCACCATCAAACATGCCATACACAGCCTCCACCCCCTCTGCAAAGCTCCCCAGTGCCAGGGATGACACACACAGCCTGTCAGAAAAGCATACAAGCTAAGTTAATATGTCTCAAAAAATTAACTTGTTCTCAAAACTACAGCCATCAGGCACTTTGCTGTGAGTGCCATTCTCACAGGGCAGCAAAGCCACCAGCCCTACATTCACTAGCGTGGGAGATGTGCAGCTACATTTTATTATTGGAATTCCCAAACCCTCCTTGACCACATGCAGGAGAGGGCAACAGACACAGCTGGCAAGAGAAAAAGCATCTTTGCTGGAGAGGGGAGTCCAAGTGTACCAGGAAAAGTGTGAAAATTGAGGCAAATGTGGAGACATGAGTTACCAAGACCTAGTAACAGATCCAGAGAGGAAAAGGTATGGATGAGCTCTTGGGCAAAACAGGTCTGCTTGGGTGCTCAGCAGTGCACTCTGCCCAGCATCCTGAGAAGACAGTGTCAGTGTTCAGCAGACCATAATACTCACTTATTTCTTTGGCCTGCCATCTCAGCTACTCCATGACTCCAGAAGACAGAAGTGAGTGCCGAGTCTGCTGTGAGGGAGGGCTTAGCATCAATCTTCAGTGTGGTAATGTGACTACAGAGAGAACAGAAGTTATGCTTTTCTAGAACCCGCTGAACAGGTCTTAGGACCATGTCCAGTCTAGTTTTAGACAGCAGTCTGTGTAAAGAACTGCATCAAGGAAAGGAGTTTAAGGTCTAGGTGTTCAGGAGATGTCTGGCTGCTTATGCCAGAGACACCTGGGAAAACCTCATACCAACTGAAAAATTCCTTGCTCTGATGTTTCGGACCCCGACTTTTCCCTTCCCAAAGACAGCAAGTCTCAGCTGCCTCAGGCAGGGAATGTTATACTATCATACAGTGATAAAGTGCTTTTACTTTACTATCCCATTTCCTCTCCTGGCAAGGGTTACCCTTCCCTGTGCAGGTCACTACTGGGTTGACATGTCAGTGGCTCACCTGAAGATATCCAGTGTCTTGTGTTCTAACACCAGGTTTGTGTTTCCACTCAGATCCAGCTCTTGCAAGGCACCTGGCAGTGCCTCAGGGATTAGGATTTCAGTTAACTCATTGCAGCTCAAATCCACAAACTGCAGTAGCAACAAACAGCATGACAAAGAAAATACTCTTTTGTTGTGTCGTATCATCAGTTACTCCAGTGCTCCTTACAAACGTCATACAACCCTGCTACTTATTGTATCTCACACATACGTTATGGAAATGGATCTGACTTGTCAGATTTTTAAGCAACCTGCAATAGCCATGACTCCAATACTGAAAGACTAGGTCACACCAAAGATAAAGGAAAGCCGCTATATGCAAACCTGCTGCCCACTGTCTCAAATGCAAGAAACCAGAAATGTCAGAGACGGGGTAAAAGTGAATGAGATGATCTTTTATCAACTCAGAAGGTGAGAGATGGAGAATGCATATTCTGTGGCCTCTTCTTGGGTTGATCAAGCAAAGTCATAGAACCACAGAATGGTCTGTGCTCAAAGAGACCTTAGAGTTCATTTTTTTCAACACATCTGCCATGGGCAGGGACATCTTCCACTACAAGAGGTTGCTCCAAGACCTGTCCAACCTGGCCTTGAAACTTCCAGGGATGGAGCAGCCACAGCTTCTCCGGGCAACTTGTGCCAGGGCCTCCCCACCCTCACAGGGAAGAGTTTCTTCCTAATATCCAACCTACACCAACTCTCGTTCACTTTAAAGCCATTCCCCCTTCTGCTGTCACTCCGTGCCTTTGTCCAAAGTCCCTCTCAAGCCCTATTTTAGTCACTTTAGGTAATGCAAGGTTGCAATAAGATCACTCTAGACCCTCTTCTTCTCCAAGCTGAACAACCCCAAACCACTCAGCCCATTGCCACAGCAGAGGTGCTCCAGTCTTCTGATCACCTTTATGGACTCCTCTGGATGCACTCCAACAGGTCTAAGTCCTTCTTGTGCTGAGGACTCAAGAGCTGGGTGCAGCCCTCCAGGTGGGATCTCATCTGAGTGGGGCAGGGGTTCTGAATCCCCTCCTTACCTGCTGCCCATGGCACTGGGGATGAGCCCAGGATGAGTGGGGGGGGGTTTCTGGGTGCCAGCACATATGGCTGGGGCATGTCCAGCCTCCCATCCAGCAGCATCCCCAAGCCCTTCTCAGCAGGGCTGCCCTCAACCATTCATCCCCCAGTCTGGATTAATACCAGGGGCAGCCCTGACCCAGGTACAGCACCCTGCACTTGGTCTTGCTGGGACCTCCTGCTCTCTCCTAGCAGTTAGTCATTCTATAGCCCAAACTTTACTTAGATATCTCTTTATCTTCTCCATACAAATACCTGAATACGGGGCAAATGCAGGATTTCTGGAAAAATGCTGATTTCATTAGAGTGTGCAATAAGTGTATGAAGTAGCTTGCAGTTTGCAACTGTTGTAGGAATTGTTTTCAGTTTGTTTCCACTCAGATTCAGTTCTTCCAAGTGCTCCAGCTTACTAAGTTTGCTGAAAGGGAAACAAAAAAATACCGTATCTCACAGACATGAACCCGTCACTTTCTGAAGTTGCAGATGAGGTATCCATAGACACTGCCCTTTATGAGCTACTTTTCTGATTTACTGATGGGAGACCCAAAGTCCTAAGAGATGCTCTAGTAAGATGCCTGGCTTGGATTTGTACAACAGACAGACTCTTTACCATTAGTGCTGAAGTTGCAAAGAAATATCACCCCATCCCCACACACGTGCAACACAAGTTACATCCCTTGGTCCCCCTGGAAGGCACCTCAACTAGTACAGGAAAACCTACAGCCAACACTACCCTGTGCCAATCCCCTTAACACACTTCTCCTCCCCCAGTGTGTAGAAAAATCAGGTTTTTGTCTTCAAGCCACAGGGAGAGCATTTCACTCTGACTTTGACTCATGTACAATCATGGGGAGGTGGCAGCTTCCTCCCAGGAAGCATTGTCTTGCCCAACAGCCTTACTGACTTACCTTGCAGGGAAAGTCTGCAGGTTGTTGTTTGCCAGATGCAGGATCCGTAGGTTTGGGTGTCCCACCAAGACAGGGATGCATTGATCTGTGAGGTTGTTATTAGTCAAGTATAGCAGCTGCAGCATGCTCAAACTCTCCTCCCCCGGACATGTGGAGGGCAAGGACTCCAGGCTGTTTGCAGATGCATTCAGGTACCTGAGGCTAACCACAGAAAGTGCAAGAATCAGACTTCACATCATTCAAACCACTCCATTAACAAGGAAAAGGAGCTGCACAAATGCCAGTGTAGACAGCAATATCAGACAGGAGGCCAGACAATACTGTAACATCCCTACCCACATTAAGATTTGTGAGTCTACTAATGACTTACTAGCTATATGCTCTGTGGATCCACACAGCATTTTTACAGTAAACAGTGAGTACTGAAAAGCCCAGGGGTAATACTGGGTAATAATGGAAGCAGACAACATAAAACTTTACTTTAAGAAGGGCTTCTTTAAAGAAGGGCTAACTCCTCTGTGATACAGTTAGGAGAAACTATTCATTTGTAAAGGGTCTCTCTTATTGTTCTCAAATGACCCGAATCTGACTGGCTTCTTTTCTTTGCACTTGAACTTATGACTACTTTTAAAGACAAAGTTCTTCAGGCAGCTTCTGTTTTCCTGTAATTATACAGTAACACGGACTGATTCCTTCAAATCAGCTTGATGGCTTCCCTTATGGCACCTGAATAACCTCCTCATAAAGGGTACACCTTGTTATATCTTATGCAAATGGCACCTTGAAGGACAGTCACACAGGTGCCACTTTCAAAAGATGTTTGATACTGACACTCACTTCAGAGCTTTGACAAAGAGTGTCTCTGGGAGTTTAGTCAACAGATTGTGCTGAAGGTCCAGCACCTCCAGTGGAATGTGTTCTAGAAGAGGTGGAAGGCTTTGCAGACGATTGTGCCCCACCATCAACTTCCGAAGACTCAAGCTTCTGAGGATCCTAGAAAGACACAGGGTTTTCTATTTAACTTGGTTCATTCCTCTTGACATTCACAGAGTGGGAAAGGTAGTATTTAATCCACTTAATTTGCTTGTACAGCAGGGAAAAATTAAAATACACCAATCCATAAAATGTAAACAATTACAAAGCAGAACAACACACAGGGTAAGATGGTTCAAGTCTCTCTGCTTGTATGCACATCTACATTTCCCTCTACACTACTACTGTTCGGTAGCTTGTGATTCAAGTTGGTGTGCATGTGCCCAGCATTCTCTCAGGCAGATAAAGAAAGAAGTCACAAAGGAAGGCTTTAAATGCCTGTTGTCACTTGTAGGTAGAAAGGAGTGCTTCCACAGTGCCGACATAAATTCAAAGCTTTAACTAGTGGCTTAGCACTCCTGTATTATTTCTGAGGCAGCAAATTATTCTTTGCGTAATATAATTAAAATTTGGTCACTTTAATCCATTGGATTGGCTAAAGTTCTCTTCTAAGTTCTCATTATCACATCCTTGTTATGTCCTTTTCTTGCTTTTGATGTATGTAGTTTTTCTGTGACAATTACTGGAATGTCACTGCTGATCACCTCCTATGTCTCTTGCTTCAACTTCTCCAACCCATGTTCTGCAATTCTTCTCTGTTAACTACTTCTCCATTCAATTTTAGTACAAATTACCCCAGGCACTGTGTCATTCATCAAATCACACACCCACCAAACACCCTTATTAGGATGAGAATGTTTATGCTTTGCTTCTTCCTGGGATAAATAACTGCAAAATAGTATTAGTTCTTGGCTCTCATTCACTGCATTTCTCCAGAAACTGAAAGGGAAATAGGGAGAAAGGAGCTGGCTGATGGTGCACTGTGAAAGCTGCATTTCAGATCAGCTGAATTGTGCCTTTGTGATAACTCCCTGTCAAAGGTAACAGATTGAAATTTCTCTGGCATGATGCAAAATGTATTAGGGTCTCACCTATGACCTGTGTTCACAGACAGTATGATAACACATATAAATCACAGCAGCATGTTCTATGTCAGGGGCAAATAGCTGCAGTAGCAGCTGAAAGCACAGGATAGAATTACCTAGCCCCTACTATTCAAAAGGCTGACCTAGAAACTGGTTCTTTCCAACATTTGAATACAGACCATTTCTGATGCTGCATAGACAAAGTAAGTGAGAGTAAATATCTCAACGCAACAAGGAATTAAGCAATGAGAATAGCACTGCTGTTCTCTCCCCAGACAGCCCATTGTAGAAGAAAGCTCAGCTCTGTTTACAAAGGTTTTCTGACCTCGATGGAAGCTCCAAGAGTAGGTTGTAGCTCACATCCAAAACTTCCAGTTTCTTTGCTTCACAGGCCCAGTCTGGGACACACTGTAGTTGATTGCTGAGAAAAGCAAGTGGGAAAAGCTAGAAAACAGCACTCCATATGGAAAAGACTGAATGCTGCATGATTTTAGTGACAGCCAAACCAAAAGCAACAGGCAATAATGAAAAGTGTCTGAGTTAGTCATGGATAATGCAAACTGAACTGGTTCATGACTTGGCAGAGCATCCTATCTTACAAGTCTCACAATGCTGCTCCAAGGGCAGATGTAGGCAATGAAACCAACAGCAGAGATCACTGGGAGCTACTCTAAATATTTGATCCATGGATCCCCCCCATTCAGTTGGGTAAGCTGCCACAAGTTCAGTGGTCCCTGCTTGGCTTTTGTTTTTTTTTTCCTGATCACAGCCTACAGCTGAAGGACAGCAAAGTCACCTGGAAAGGTCATACTGGTTCAGAAGGGCTTCTGGTCTGGGACACTTTCATCATTGTTTAGTGCTGGGCTTTGAAGTTCTATTGTGTTTAATTGCTCTCAAGATGTCCAGATACTTGCTTTAAATTCTGTTGTGTATTATCACTTACTGAGAGAGTTCTAGACATGTCAGTAGATCAGGAACCGGATAAATATTGACAGCTGTCAGACCTGATGAAGTAAAGCAAGTAAGTATGATTGCAGAGCTTCAGAGAGAAAACAGCACAGAGATGCAAATCAGAGATCAAATGAGACTCACAATCTTTCTCTATAGAGGCTCAAGGTTCCCACTGATACTTCCCAACACAGAGTTCACACTTCATACATCTGCCATATGACACACTACAGTGTCTCACTATCCATTTTTCCATCCATGTGGAGCACCAGAACAAGAGAGAACGGTACTTTACTTTGTGGGCTGCCAAACACATCTCAATGGAACATGAATTCCCAGGATATAACACCACAACCTCCACACTGTTACACAGTCTGTGTACACCCATGCACATGTGATCCATAGGAGCTAACCTCAGAGGACCCATCGCATATGGTTTCACCACAATAACATCAACATAAGTATTTTTTTAATGCATAAGAGAGGGCAAAAGGCTGTTTTCCTTTGCTCCCAGGGCTTAAAGGGAAAAGGCAGGCGAAGAAGACAAAGAGACATACAGTTGCTGTTGGCATACAGGGCCCGAAGGGAAAAGCCGCTCAGTGTCAGCTCTCTCAGCTTATTTCGCTCGCAGTGCAGCTGCTCCAGGCTGACCAAGGAGCTCAGATCCAGATCTGTCATCTGATTGTCTCGTAAATCCATGTAAGCCACAGATTTGTTCTCCTCCAGAGTGTCAGCCGCTGCCCTCTTCAGGTTGTTCAGCCTAAACACTCAGAGATGAGTTAAAAAGTCAGAAAATAGGACACTGAACACTGGACATTGGTAAGAGAGAAGAAAGAAGAGGAAAGGAAGAATTCTGGTGAAGGCTAACACCAAAGGTGAGCACAGTGAATGAAATGTGCGACAACCAATGGTGAATTTCAGGCAGTAAATACAAACAAAAACATTTCCTTTGTCTACACTGCTACACATAATCATTTTAATGATTCCCAAATTCTTAAGAGATTCTGAAAAAAGATCCAGTCTAGAAAACAGAAACTGGGTCAAGTGGCAGCTACTCTGCATGGGCAGAGGAAGCTAATGCAGAGAACAGATACTAGACTGCCTTGCAACACACAAAAAGATCTTTGTCCCTTTCTGAGAGATCTGCAGTTGGCAGCCTGGAGAATCAGGATAACATCTCTAGGGCAGTGAGGCAAAGAAAGAAAGAAGAGACCAAGATTTTAGTATCTTGAGCTACCAAAGCTTAAGGTAACAGCAAATCATAGGAGGAAACTAGAGGGCTGGGTCACATTCAGCATCTGGCACTGCTCAATTAAGCCTGCTTTTCCAAGTAGATTCTGCACACCCTCAGAAACAGAACTCCATAAAAGCTAAAGAATCAGTAAGAGAAAAAACTGAACCTAGTTTATTGCAAAACGTACCAGAAGTTGCACAGATCCTCTGCTGTAAATGGAAAGTACCAATCTGTTTTATAGACACCTGCCAGTTTCACCCCTTACCTCAGGTCCACACTTTTGATGTGACCCATACGGTTCAGCACTGTCAGGTCCAGGGTCTCTAGCAAGTTCCCTGCCAGGGCTAGTTTGTCTAAGGTGACAAGTTTTTCACAAATTGCTGGCAGTTCACAGAAGTTATTGAATGAAAGCCCAAGACAGCTGAGCTGCTGCAGGTTTCCCATCTCTTCTGGTAAGGATGTGAGGAAATTGCCATCAAGCCAGAAGGTCTGGAGACTGCAAAAGTGAAAAAGAGAAAGAAAATAATTCTGCAAAGAGTAGTGAACATCACGTTTCGTATTTTCAGTGAATTTTCTCATATAGTTAGCTGGTCTCAATGTGGTTATTTTAAAGGTACCTAACAGCTAATTTTATTCTTATACACGTAAAGTTACTGAAGTACTTTTATCACACATGTAATAGCCTTGGAAATTCCAGTTGTGCCAAAGATTGTAAGTTAACACAAGCAAAATACAAACCAGTTGTAACATACGTTGTAAATGAAAGATATTTACTTAATTACTTGATTTTCTACAAATGGCACAGTTTAATCATACCTCCTATCACACTAATGCACTAGTAGAAGATTTTACACTCTAGTTGTCCATTCCAAAACACACTCGGAAAAGAATAAGGTAGCTTTCTATTGTATGATGAATTGTTTCAAAGGTTGTACGGCTTTTGAGACTCAGATCCCAAATATACAATTCCCTTATTATGATTATGTTCCAACAGAGACCTTTTTGTGTTTAGTGGTGGTAGAAATGAAATATGAGGCCATAAAAAGCTCTTATGAATAAGGGCTCAAGGAGTCATCAAGATAACTGGACCCATAAATAAACTGTGAACCTCCAGGAAGTGTATGCCGACATATAACTTTTTTCTCACAGTTTGCATATGGCTAAAAGATCATTCTGGAAATTACTTGCTCACATCCAATGTGGCTGCAGACACTCCTTTTTTAATGATACAAGTTGGAGGAAAAGCAGGCCACAATAAATAAACAGTTCCATATTGATGTTTATCTATATGAACATTTAGATAAACATCTATTGATGTTTATCTAAGTGTACTAACAGTCTTGCAATTAAATTTACCTAAGCTTAAGCTCTTATGCATTTGGGGCAGCTACTGGGGAAAATAGACAAGGCTCCAGCAAACACTTTAAGACAAAATTTTCAGAGGGGATTGCTCAAGCATTTTAATGTTAAAATCCCCTAACACAAAAGCAGCCAATTCTGTACAGCACAAACAAATACCAGTGCTGACAAAAATCACTAGACCCCTGTGAAAGTTACCACAGAAAAGTTTTCTACAATAAATTAAAACTTCAATAGAAATTGCATCAGTACTGAAAATATTAAATTCAAATAATAAATGCAGAAAGTCAGACAACTCTGAAGCTGCAGAAGAATGCACACAGACTTATTTGAGAAACAATGCAATTGCCTTCAGTGCTTCACCTGCATCAAGTTTCCTAATCTTTTCTGCACTAGCAGTTGTGATGTTTTCCTAGTAGTGATTAAGGGATTGCACATCTTAGCTGTTGACCTTCTGCTGAAGTCAACTTAATCATTCAGCCTTCATGGGCAAAACACGCTGCCCTGTTGTTGATTTTTTTTTCCACACTTTCAGAAACAGTATCTGCACAGTAGTGCTCAGCTGAGGCACCAAGGATATTTATGATCACAGATTTAAATAACATACTCACTTCAACAGTTTGCCAATCTGACTTGGCAAGTAATGAAGTCCATTACAGGAAATATTAAGCTCTGTCAGAGTAGAGATCTCACACAGTGATACAGGAAACTCTCCCAGTCTATTATGAGACAAGTTCAGACTCTTCAACTGAGAAAACCTATTAGTAAGAAGACTAGTTAATTCAGAAACCTACATGTTTAAAGCAAAAATACACAAACCAGTAATAAAGAATTCTTAAGTCTTTGTACACTGGTGATACAGTCAGCTAACTCATTACAGGAGTTTTTGCATAAATTTGGGTTTAAGTCATTGATATTCTTCTCAACTGTCATGCTGAAAATGATCAAACACCATAGGTTTACTGCAGGAACTGATAACAACTTTCTACACCAACAAGCTTTGTCCTAGTGACTGCTACTAAGATTAAGGTGACTAAAATGCTCAGTTAAAAAAATTTACCTTAAAATAATTAACTACAGTAAGAGTCTACAATTATGTAGCTAGGAAAAAGAGGAGCTGAGACTGAGTCCTATTCCTAGGACTGAGAATAAAACAGAAAGCCAAGCCAAGCTGTAAAAGGGAAAACTAAGAAAGCACTTGCTTCATGCTGGGAAAACCCAAAACCTGCACCCAGAAGTCCTTGAACAAGATGGCACAACTACAGTTCTCAGCAGACTGCATCACAAGCACTGCCCCAGGTGCACACAGCCCCACAGCCACTACAGTCCCACCGGTGCTTGGGAAATGATTACCTATTTCTAGCTCCTTCAATCACTATGCTAGGTCCAAAGACAGAGAAGGAACTTAGTGTGGCTGGGGTAACATCCAGCAGGGTTCTCCCCCAAGAGTTCCTGCCTCCTTCTACAAGAAGCAAAAGTATTGTTCCCCGAGTAAACCCTCTTCATCCCAAACTGGAACCACCAAAAATTAATTCAGTGGGGAAATGAATATCTCACTTCAATGAGATAACTGCAAATTTCATGTACCAGAGAACTACTTCCTGGAAACATGCAGTTATTAATCTGCCTCTCCTACCTGACTTTTCCCAGGCATGTAGCTCTTGGCAAGTAGCTCTTATTTTGAAGCAAACGTTCTAATATCGGTAACAAAACAAGGTTAATTAGCTTGAGGGAGAATATTACTTCTTGCTTAAGATGTCTTGAAATATAGGACTGAAAGGTTTTGGAGTTGTTTTCTTCTTTATAGTGACCTTTTTTCGATTCAAAATACTTGTAATGATCTGTGTAGGAACTATGTATATTTCTCCATTTTGCTTTATAACCTTGGGGGTGCTGTTCTTTTGAAAGAGGGAGCATAGCTGAAACTTGGACATGAGTTGTTTGCATTGAGCACCTCATAATTTGAATAAGGGCACAGGGATTTTGTTTGCTGCAGCCACAGACTCCCTTTTACTGCAACTGAAAGCCAAAGAGAAAAAGATGCTATGTTGGTAAAAGCCTGCCTCAAAGGAAGGATAATGCAAGGATCTAACAATGATACAAAAATTAGAAACTTGCACACAGAACTCCACCACAGTATTGGAAAAGAAGGAAAGAATGAGGATGAACCTTAAGATTTGAACAATCTCACTAGCTGGCTCAGCTTTAAGAATTTAGGACAGGTTGCGGCTCTCAGGGTTTGAAATCAGCAAATGCTTTAATAAAACTGCTTTCTCAGGAGCTCTGAAATAGCTTTTGCTACACCTGTTCTTAGTGCCAAGCAGTGTTTCTCCCTCTCTAACAATGTGGTGAGAAGCTGCTCTGAGAGACACAGCATCAAACACAACAGCACAATTAATGTTTAGAATTCATCCCTCTGCAAAAATACGAGGGGCATTACGGTTTCCAAAAGCTGAAGGGAAACTGGTATATGACGCAGCTGGGTCTGAGATTCTTCAAGCAGACTTCCATACTCAGTGGGAAGGACAATACTCAAAAGTCTTTTGAGTTCTCCTTCTGTTCCTTCTTCTTTGCCTCAGTAAGCTCAAGAAGTGATCTAGGAGTGGAGTGGAATGGAAATGCAACTCTCACTCAAGCTGTGTATATGAACCAGGTATTATAGGGGATAAAGATTCCAAAATAGTTGTGGCTCCTCAGGTTATGGTTTGTGCTCTCACAGGGCATACTGAGACAACAAGGAAGTATGGAAACACAGCAGTGAATCTTCCATGGAATGATCATCCTCTGTTTAGCAGCCCAAACTGGTCCTGCCCTGAAATATTCCAAGTTTAACACATCCTGTTCTGCCAACAAAGCACACCAGCACAAATCTGTATGAACTAGCTAGAATGCTGACAAGAGACATGCAGATGTATACATGCACGTGCACACACACATACCAATGAAGACCAGATCTCAGTGTTTTTCAGGTAAGTGAGGTGCTTGAAAGGCACTACAATACATAAAAAATAAGCTAGGAGATGTAACTAAGCAGGTAGGCCTATTTAATACCCTTTGCTTAACATTTTCCCTTTAGCCAATTATTTTTGCTCCACTATTATAGGTAGTTAGACTCCTAGAGCTTGAAAGTTGCTCAGAGGAAGAGATCTGATTATTGAGAAAAATTCTGCTGTTGGGAATTGACAGTCTCAATGCACTGAGAGCACCTACTGCAAGTGAGCAAGGGTCTTCTTGCGATGCTGTAATCTTAAAAGCATCCTAAAAACCTCAGACAGAAAATCTTTTCAAAAGGCAATGAGCAGCCTTATGTGGGCAACCTAATGCTATCTGTTTATTCAAGATTGTGTGAAGTGAGAGCTTCTTTTATGACTTTTGTTTGTTTGTGGATTTCAGCTTCATCAGACATAGTCACTGCCAGGAAGAGTTGAGTTTCTGACATGTCAGATTTCTTGTTGACTACATGCAAGGTCAAAAGAAATTTCAAGCCCCTTTGCTGATCCTGTGAACCAAGGATACTCCATTTTAGAAAATAAAGTTCTGATGTGCTCAGAAATCATACAACATATTTGAAGAGACAAGTAGAAAGCAAAATCTTAAATTATTTTAAGCAGCTTCTCCAGTAACAGAATCCATTACAATTCAGCATTAGAAAACTTTTAAACAAGTTTGGAAAACCAGAACTAGACTCTGGCTCACAAGGAAACTGCAAAGAATTCCAAAAAGTGAGCAATTTTCTTTCATTGTATATTCTTATAGATACCTGGGCATCTCATTACCCTAGAGGAAGAAAAATGAAATAGCACAGTAGCAGGCCCCTAGAGACAAAGAAAACAAAAATACAGCCTTTCTCAACCCCATCCCACCTTGCAAAATACCCTCCAACAAACCAAAATGACAAAAACAACCAAACCTCAAAACTACAACAACAAGCCAAAACAAACAAAAAAAACCCCAAAAAGCAGTTTTGCAAAGTTTCTCCAAATACATTTTCCTTAGGGAAATGTGTTCCAAACAGAGCCATTGTAAGCTTCCTAACAGTTTTCAAAATTCATAGAGCAACTCCTTGAATTCTATTTAGCATGGTTGGTATACATATCAACAGACTAATCTCCCTCTAGATTTTTATGATTTTGGGAAATTAATTTTAAAATATTTTTGTAAGACTCCTTCACTTACCTAAGATGACTACATCATGCTTCCATACCATCACACAACTGCTACTCTCTTAAAAGCAGATCATCACAAGTTTCCAAAGCAAAGCTGGAGTCTCACAGGCCCTCTGCCAATTCCAAATACACATTAAGAACTCGCCAAAACAGGGTTTTTCAGACCTAAATTTCTTCCTACAAACACTTATTCACAACAGCAGCACTATGCTTTTCCTTGCCTTTTATTTTATACCCCAAGATGTTCTCTGCTTAGCAAGCAGCATAATATTACTACTGCATCTTGTCCATACAAATGGCATGTCACCCCACAAGGCTTATCTCAAATCAGAGTTAGCACAGAATCTGTGGAAGGGAGCTCATGAATACTATAAATTGTTGGAAGTTTATTCCTGCTTGTGCTGCCCAGCTCTGCTTCCAACCCCCTCACTTGTTAGAGCTTCCTAAAGATCAATTTTTTTACCATCCCCAAGAGAACAGGCAATACTTCATTCCTGTATCCACATGTCAAGGACTCCAAATGTTGGAGAAAAATGATTCTTTGCAGACCTGCAAAGAGAGTCAAGACTCCCTGCTCCACTTGTTCTCATAAAATTGTGGCGTAAGTTGAGGTAGGTGATATCTTGACTGTAGAAGAGGTGCTCTGGTACTTCCTCAAGGCTGTAGCATGAAAGATCAACCATGCTAAATCGCATAGACACAATCTGAAAAGAAAGAGAAAAAGCTGCAGCTGTGCAACAAATTTGCTCTGGAAGTCTAATGGAAGGCCAAAGAATACAGGTAATAAACAATTTGCAAGAACATGAAAGAACTCTTTGTACCTACCAGGTAGAGTCCATACAGGAAATGGGAGTCCATGAAGTACAAGCCTATAACCTTTGCTACATCCCTGACAAGGATGCACAGCTGGACACCAGCCAGGATTCATACAAAGCCCTGCTCTGTATGTGGACTGGGCACACTGCCTAAAGGCTAGGCTGTAAGAGAGCCAGTGTAATAGAGGAAAACAGATCTTTCAGGAAACTATTGAGAAAGCATAATCTCAAGTGCCTTCCAAAGGTGCAAGAAGCAACAGGAAGCAGTTGATTTTCCAGTTCAGTTCTTTGAGGTTTACAGAACCTCTAACTAACATAGCTGCTTCTTCTGTACTTTGAGGTACTTCTTTTTTTTATTAGTTTGTTGAGAGTATAAAATTTGAAACATAACTTTTTAGAAAAAGGCTTCATAAATTATGGTTTGGCAGCGTTTAATGAAGTCTTTGCAAATCTCATGTCCTTTCATAAAGTATGTTTTGTTTTGAAGTCTTTGGTGCTTAATTTGACATTTTATGACCTGCTTTATCCTGAACTCATTTTGTATTTCATAATATCCTTGCTGACCTACAATGTCTCTGTATCTCAAACCTCAGGGCAGCCCTGTGTATGTCCAGGTCATACTTCAGATACATTCAAGTATGGCAACAAATGCACTCTGTAGGTTTCTACAGCTGTAAAGCCAGTCAGTCCCTGTGGTTTGCTCTAGGGACCTGTGATTCAGTTAGTCTTGTAGGTGCAGCAGAGGTTAAAACAGCACAGAACTATTGCTCGACAATGTTGCACAGGTAGAGAAAAAGAGAAGGCTAAGAGAAAAATCTCTGTAGCCCAGAGCATGAAGGAAATAAAGCCGGAAAATGTCCTGGGTGCTGTCTCCAGCATCCTAGCTTCATCTCTGACTGCAGATCAAGCTTGCATCATAACAGCCTTCCCGCGGCGCACCCTGCACACACCATCCAAACCACACTGTCCCCAGGGGCTCACCGTGGATGCCTGCCGGTGCCACCGCTGGCACTCTGCCAGCGTTTCAAAGGAAACATGGTATGTCTGAGCTTGTGCTCCAGCAGATGTGAAAGCAAGGGTGTACTGCCGACGTTTCATCTCTTCCACCTGCAGAGGGAGAATTGACAACAACAGTGTGCCTAAGCACCAGAAACTGCAACTGACCTGAAGTCTAGCATGAAGTATTACTGGCCACCAGTAACATTGCATTTTGCCGAAAATATAGCTGCTGTCACTGGAGAAAAACAGAGAAGTAAATCCTGCTTAACATCTTTCTGCTGAAATGGATACAAGAAGTAGTAATTTCCAGAGTGACCGTGCACATTGGCTACTGCTGTGAAAGCTGAACTAGTGTTCATTTTATTAGCCTTCAGACTACTACCTAAGCAAATCAAGTAGAAAGATGTTTGGCACATTAATGCAGTAATCTGTTAAAAAAGCCTCCATTAATCTCTTGTGGGCAATTTCCACCACTACTATATTTTTTCTTCCCTCTCAGGTTACAGGGAACTAACCAAAAAAAAGGCCTTACCTTCCCTCCAACGAGAGGCAAGATGTGCATCTTCCCTGCATGGCTGTCCTTCACTGAGGACACAATGAGGCACGTACCACAGAGAGTGACTGAGCGCTCTGCCCACTTGTGCAGCTGGGTCTTTCCTTTGCGTACATTATAGACTCCAGAGAGCAGGATGCGATCCAGCTGTTCCACCTGACATGGCTTTTCTGAAGAAAAAGGGGACATTGGCATTTACTGTCCATATGTTCTTCATTCTCATCTGTGAGTACAAATAACACGGCTCTAACATGCAAAACCGGTTGTTGTAAAGAACAAGCAGAGAAACTGCACTTTAAAAAAAAAAAATCTCTGCAGAGGACAAGCAACATCCTCAGTCAGCACAGGAACAGCAGCTGAGCAGCACCATTTGTGCCTCCCAGAACAATGTTAGAATGGTTGCCATGCAGCGTGTTTTTAATCCTCAGGTAGTTACAGACCTTAGCAAATCCACATGCTTGCCAAATATCCTTCATTCAAATGCAACAGAAAAACAATTTTAAACTCTCGTTGAGTCAGCTAAAGTCACTGAAATCATTAAATAAGTGGCTTCTACTGGACTTTAAAGGAAGGCCTGGAAAATCAACTACAAAGGAAATTCTGTCCCTGAAGATGACTGTCCTGGTTTTGCCTGAGATAGAATTCATTTTCTTCCTGGCAGATGGTACAAGGCTGTGTTTTGGCTTCAGTGTGAGAATAATGTTGATAACACAAAAAAAACCCACCAAAAAACCTGCTGTTTTGGTTGGTTCAGCAGCGCTCACCCACGTCAAGGACTTTACAGTGTCTGATTCTCTGCAGCAAGCAGGTGCACAAGAAACTGCAAGGGAGCATGGTTGGACCAGGTGATCCAAACTAGCACAGGGGATATTTCACACCATAGAACATCATGCAGTATACAAACTTAAGGAACTGGGACAGGAGGGCTGAGCACTGCTAGAGAAAGGGCACCAGTGTGATGAGCAGTGTATTGTGCATCACTTGTGTTTTATTTCTCTTTTTTATTTCCCTTTTCATTACAATTATTATCATTATTTTACTTTATTTCAATTATCAAACTGTTTGCAGTCCACAGGCATCACCTTTTTCCCATTCTCCTTCCCATCCCATGGGGGAAGCAGTGTGTGTGTGAGCAGGTGCTGATTGGGTGGCTGAGGTTAAACCACAACAGTCCTTTTAGGTGCCAGCCCTGGTGCACCAAGGGCAGAGACAGATCTGACCAGAGCGTGTAAAAACAGATTTGCTATAAGCATTTGCTGTATTGGTTTAACAGTGGCTGGTTACAATATTGATTGGTTTGCCCGATTTTGTTGCATTTGTTCTCAAGTGCAACAAAATGTAACACCTTATCTGCTGTAAAAGCTGGGTTAGGGTTATGGTGTTGCATTTTGTAATGTCATCTGTGTGCTCAGCATGGCCCCTACCTTTGTGCTCTGGTGCCATTTAGTGGAAAATATCGATAATGACGCTATTTGCCTTTTCTCCTCAGACAGCCCTCCTAGGGAGTGGACACTTCCCACATCTTCCTTTTCTCCTCCAAGTTAATTACAACAGCATTTGGGAATTTTTAATATCCTTGGGATGTTGAAACCAGTGTGGTTCCCTATTGCTAGGCACCACAATTGTGGCCTAGGTCCTGTTTAGGGAGAAACAACTGTTTGCGGCTACTCCAACCCTGTGACAAGCCACTGCAACTACTCAGACTGGACTGGAGTCACACTGCTGCCAATTGCTGCTGTACTGGACTCAAGGTCAAACCATTCAGCTTCTGGAGTTGGGGTTACAGAGGATTTGGAGCCCACAATACTCTAACTGAAAGAGATACTGGTAGCATATGAAGGGGTTTGAGCTGCTTCAGAGCTGATTGGCACTAAGGTCCAGCTGCTCGTGGCACACTCCTGGGGTGCTGGGCTGGATGTTCAAACTGATGCTATGTCGAGTAAGCACGCCACATGGATCACACAGCAAGCCTGAATAAGAAAACCATACTCCAAACATTTATCAGGAGTAAACAGTTAACTACTGACTCAAGCTGTAACATTGTTTCTCAGTTAGTAGAATCTTCAGCTTGCCAAATCTAAAGTGCTGTCCTGATGTCCATGTCTGGCTAAATTTAGCTGAAACATGTAGTTGTTTATTTCCAACAACAAATTTGTTTCACACACATGAAGTTTCACATAAGATGTCCTTTACTGGTGAGAAACTGTAAGAATCCACAGAAAAAAATGCTTTGATTTCACCAAGCTGAAATCAAAGCCCCAGACTTTTAAGAAAACATTATTATGAGACTAAAATGGTATCCTACTACTAACTGCGACAGCAGCACTGTTCCAAGCATTCCTACACAGCTGCACCAATCCTCCAGTGTCCCTCTCTGCTCCAAAACCATGACACCTATCCTAGAGTGGGTCACGGGGCAGCCGTGGACACAGCCAGGTGGCTGGAACACCTCTCCTATGGAGACAGGCTGAGAGAGCTGGAGTTGTGCAGTCCGGAGAAGAGAAGGCTCTGGGAAGGCCTTCTTGCAGCTTTTCTACATATAAAGGCAGCTTATAAGAAAGGCATAGAGAGACATTTTATGAAGGCCTATAGTGGCAGAACAATGGGCCATGTTTCTAAACTGAACAAGGGCAAATTTGCACTGGACATAAGGAAGAAATGTTTGATGGGGAGGCCCTAGCACAGGTTGGCCAGAGAAGCTGTGGCTGCTCCATCTCTGGAACTGTCCAAGGCCAGTCTGGGTGGGGCTTGAAGAAACCTGGTCTAGTGGAAAGTGTCCCTGCCCATGACAGGAGGGTGGAACTGGACGATCTTTAAGGTTCCTTCCAACTCAGAATCGTGGCATCACAGACTGGTTTAAGTAAAGTTTTTCTGTGTAAAATCTATTACTTGCTCCCTTATGTTCTCAGCTGCAGACACTGCAAAATTATTGTATCATCCTCCATAGCATTCCCTCTAATTCCTCCCCTACCTTTGAGAATCCCTTTGTCGGCATTTGCTTGCACTTCCTTAAAACAAGTCTCCTGAACACCCTTCAACCCTTATACTTCCTCCTTCATCGCTTTCTTCTAAGCAGACCAGCCACTGATGCTGACTGAAACTACTCAATTACATTTTCTATCTAC